GGTGGTCAAAGGCACGGTCGAAGAGGAAGGTCCTTAGAAGGAGGCAAGAGAAGGAATGAGGCAGAGGCATTATAGGATAGAGTTCCAGAGTGTGGGGGTAGAGATCCTGAATGCCCGACCACCAAGGGTGGGGTGGGAAGTGCGGGGACCTGAAGCAGGCCGGTATCTGCCGAGCAGAGGGAGAAGACAAACAGATATAGGGCTAGGAGGTCGGAGAGGTAGGGGAGAAGAAGACCGTGATGGGTTTTGAAGGTGAGAGGGTTTTGTACTTGATTCTCTGAGGGATGGGGAGCCAATGAACGGTGTGATTGGTTCTCGGAGTCTGATGCGGGAAAGCACGCGAGCTGCAGAGTTCTGAATAATCTGCAGCTTGTGGAAGGAAGAGTTGGAAAGTCCAGCGAGTAGGCAGTTGGTTTAGTCAAGCCGCGAAGTGATGAAAGCGTGGATCAGGGTCTCGGCGGCCTGTGGTGAAAGGTGGTGGCGGGCAATGTTGCGGGGTTCTCGTATAACAATTCAGTATCTTAAAAGGGCTGATTGTTTGCCTTGCTTTACCTTCAGCAGTAAGTCACCTTTAAGACCTTTAACAAATGAGTGTGTGGACTGGTCAGTGAAACATTACCAGGAAATACTCATTATTTCTAGACCTAAGTTTCTTGTAGCACTTGAGGAAGATATCTTAAATGGAGATCTTTTGGACATGAATATTGTGACACAAATAATGGGATGATTATAAAAAACTTGATTAACATTAATATCAATAAGAGGGAATTCATTTAGAAGTTCCAGAGACTTGCAGTACGGCTGATTCCTCCAGTATGGGTGAATTATTCGATGTGGCTGAGTTTCCGGTATGGCTGACTTTCAAAAATATATGGCCATGACCTGGCCAATAGAAAACTGCAGAAATATTTGCCACAAAATGCAGGGAAATTTTGACAAATTTTGCAGAAAGTTGCAGGGTGTTGATTGATGCTATTGAGGTACATTTTACTGCCAACCTACATTTTCTAACTATTAATAAAAACTAAACATGAGGAAATAATACAATTTAGACTGTTACAACACACTTATTCATTTTTTCTTTAACAAAAACTGGGTGGCCCATTGGGGTGGGGGACACAGCTGGACTGCGAACTGCTCACCAGTTACTAGCACTGCACACAGATACAGAGACCTAGGGAAAGAGAGAAACACACACACACACTCTCGGAGACAGAGAGACACACACGCACTCAAAGACACACGCACTCACATACACACACAGAGACACACACTCATAGACACAGAGAGACACACACTCACAGACACAGAGAGACACACACTCACAGACACAGAGAGACACACACACTCACAGACACAGAGAGACACACACTCAGAGACACATACACTCAGAGACACACAGAGAGGCACACACACTAACACAGAGACACACTCACTCACTCACAGACACACACTCACAGATACAGAGAGGCACACACACTAACACAGAGACACACTCACTCACGCACAGACACACACACTCACAGACACAGAGAGACACACTCACTCACAGATGCAGAGAGACACACACACTCACAGACACACAGCCAGACACTCACAGACATAGAGAGACACATTCTCAGAGAGAGAGATATACACACTCATAGACACAAAGAAACATACACACACATAGACAGAGGAGAAAGACACACATACACATTCACACTGAGACACTCATAAACACAGATACATATAGAAGAGACACAGACAGACATACTCACAAACACACACACATATATAAAGAGATAGACACACACACACATTCACATAGACACTCACAAACACACAGAGAGAGAAAGAGACACACAGGCACACTTACACATACACTCACAAACATATATAGAGACACACACTCACTCACAAACAGAGACTCACAGACAGTCACAGCAGTGGGGCCTCCGAGTGGAGCCAAGCCCATCGTCCACTTACCCGTCCTACTCATACGAGTCCAGAGCCCACTCACCCAGTGACGTCAGGTAAACAGCAGCGTTGAGAGGCCAGCGGTTGCCTCTACCTGGTCTGCTTTTCGCTTCGCCCGCCATTGAGCGTCGTTCCTCCCAGGTCTGCTTCACCAGCCCTGTGTGACTCTGCCTGGTCTCTCACAAGTCCGTTGCGCTACACCACTTCTAGCAGCTCTGCCCACAGTGATGTCAGGCCCGGGAGCACAAGCTTCATTTGTTTGCGGGCTTACAGCGGAGGGCGCTACTTACAGCAGATTCCGCGGTAAAAACTGTGGCCGCACTTTTCTATTGGTTCAAACCATGACCCATTTCAGTGCATTGGCAATGTACGTGCACCATGAACAGTGCATGTGTTGTCTGTACTGTATGTTCCTGGGATAATTGGCCAGACTAATTAGCACACCTTCTCCAAGCCTTTTACAGGTCATTGAGACAGGTCAATATTTCCTCAGGATTTTCACCATTTTGTTTGTTTCTATTTCCTCCACAAGGTGAAAATATTTATCAATAAGTGCTGGCAGGTATCCAGGAGGATAAAATATGTCGTTCTTAACAGATTCATAAGAATGTGGAGTTCTTGTGTCTGATCTTCCAAAATTCCTTGGATTCTGGAACAGTCCCCATGGATTAAAAGATCGCAAATGTCACATCACTATTTAAAAAAGGTGGAAAGGAAAAGATGGGGAACTACAGGCCAGTTAGTCTCACATCAGTGAAAGGAAAAATTTTAGAATCATTGATTAAGGATGTGGTAGTGCGGTATTTAGGGGAGCACAATATAATTAGGCCAAGTCAACATGGCTTTACAAAAGGGAGATTTTGACAAATCTCATAGAGTGTTTTGAGGATATTTCGAGTAAACTAGATAAGGGTGAATCAGTGGAGGTGGTCTATTTGGACTTCCAGAAGGCATTCAATAAGGTGCCGCATAAAAGGTTAGTCCAAAAGATCCCACGGAATTGGGGAGAGCATATTAACGTGGATTGGGGAATGGTTAATGGGTAGGAAACAAAGAGTAGGGATAAATGGGTCCTTTTCAGATTGGCGGGATGTGACTAGTGGAGTACCACAAGGATCAGTCCTTGGGCTCAGCTATTTACCATCTACATCAATGATCTTGATGAGGACATCGAAGTTAATATATCTAAATTCGCGGATGACACAAAACAAGGAGGAAGTGTCAACACAGAGGATGACATTAACAAAATGCAGCGAGACATAGATAGGTTAGGTGATTGGGCAGGTAGGTGGCAGATGAAGTATAATGTAGGGAAGTGCGAAGTCATCCACCTAGGTAGCAAAAACAGTAGAGCGGGTTATTTTTTAGAAGGGGAGAGATTGGAATGTGTTAGCGTCCAGAGGGACTTGGGTGTCCTTGTACACCAATCACAGAAAGTTAGTCTGCAGGTGCAGCAGCAATTAGGAAGGCGAACGGTATGTTAGCATTCATTATGAAAGGATTAGAGTATAAGAGTAGGGAAGTCTTGCTGCAACTGTATAGGGCCCTGGTGAGACCACACCTGGAATACTGTGTCCAGTTTTGGTTTCCTTATTTAAGGAAGGATGTACTTGCCTTGGAGGGGGTGCAGTGTAGATTTACTAGAGTAGTACCAGGGATGAAGGGGATGAGTTACGAGGATAGGCTGACCAATTTGGGCCTATATTCTCTAGAATATAGAAGAATTAGAGGGGACCTGATAGAAATCTATAAGATGATCAAAGGGCATGATAGAGTAGATAGTGGGAGATTGTTTCCCCTGGTTGGAGAAAATAAAACCAGGGGTCACAACCTTAAAATCAGAGGCCAGCCCTTTCACACTGAGTTGAAGAAGAACTTCTTCACTCACAGGGTGGTGAATGTATGGAACTCACTACCCCAAAGGGCTGTTGACGCTCAGTCTTTGAACATATTCAAGAATGAAATAGATAGATTTCTTATTGCAAAAGGTATTAAGGGATATGGGGATAAGGCAGGGTTAGGTTATTAGCTGGAGTTAGATTAGAAGATCAGCCATGATTGAATGGCGGGGCAGGCTCGAAGGGCCGAATGGCCTACTCCTGCTTCTACATGTTATGTTATGTATAAACAGGAAAATGCCATTTCAACCATTTCATCATGACAATCTTTCAATCCCAAGTTCCCAATTTTTTTCTATGCCTTTTAATACTCTTATAAAATTGCTTTTTGGGGGTAATAATCTCTCTCCCAAAAATAATAATAAAAATTTGGTTGCTCAGTTTGTGGGACACTACTGTGTGCAATTAGTTATCATGTTTCGCCCACAAAATACACAACATCAATTCACTTTACCAGTATATTCTGTGAAGTGCTTTGAGACCTCTTGATGTGATAAGGCGCTATATCAAATGCAAGGATTATTATTATTATTATACTTCCTGTCGACAGCTTTATGAAGCAATGCTTTCCACCCTCTTTTACCTCTTTGTGTGAAGAAATGATCCCACAGCACAGTTAGCACTTTATGTTCAATCTCACACTTCACTATATGTTTCAACAGAGAAAACTTTGTATGTGAACAGCCTGTTTCTGTATGTTATTAGCTTGTGAGCTTCTGGTAAGAAAGCTTTTATCACATTGAATATGTTTTGCAACATTGGATAATATTGAATTAATGATTGCTGTTCCAGTGTTTTAGCATATTTCTAAGTGAAGCCCACTTCCTCAACACAAAATGGCAAACTCACAAAATGTATGTTTAGTATATATATATATCACATTGACCAATCTGAGTAAAATCAATTATTAACAAAACATGTTGTTATTCTGTACTTTCATTCCATACAGTCACTAATTACAGATATCAGAAAAATGTACTGCAGACTATCAGTTTGTAATCTACTCTTGCTTTTCCCTTTGCTGTTCCTGTGTTAGGAATTTTGCACTGACAAGCCTACCCAATGTGGCTACTATTAGAGGTGTCTTATCAAACAAAAAACTAAAGAATTACATAACATTACTTTTTTTACTTGAATTAACAGAACAAATTAGTGAAAAAGATGAAGGTCCTTACTATACGCATCTGGGAGCAGGCCGCAATGTAGCAGAAATTCGAGAAATGATGGAAAACAGGTACAGTTTTCAGCTGCACAAAAATACATTATAGAACATTAAACAAATGAATTGCTAACATAAAGTAATAAATGATACTGTTAACTGGTGAAGCTTTAAAATAATTTTGTTTCTTAAGTTCAGAAATGAAGGATGTAATGCAGCTTTCTTTTTCTCGCTCAAGAAAGCTCTTGAGGCACTGTTAATATTATAGCCTTTATTTTCCACGACTAAAACTTTCAGAATACCTTCAGCAAATTCTGTTCCACACGCTACAGGGAGGAAATTATTCTCCTTGCTCAATATGGCAATTTTGACAGTGGGGTCTAATTTGCAGTATTTCTTAAACAAATTTCTTATTAAGAAATGTGCAAATATCAAATTTTAAAAAAATCAAATATTAAAGTTGAGTATTATAATTTTTTAATCAAGAAATGTATTAAGAAATAATACATTTTATAGTCACACCACCTGTTTAAATGTACATTTTCTCTTATCCTTCGTATTTGGTCAATATCTTACACCAAGCTCCATAGGCCATGTCCACAGGTATTGGAGGTTACGTAGACTGGAGCTCAAATCTATTAATCGGCAAATGCCATGTTCTCATTCACATTCCTGTCTCTCAGTTAGATTTTCCAAAAAGTGCCTCTGTGCAGTGCTGGATGGGCCACTCAAGGCATTAACTGAGGCTGGTTTCATTGTATTCCAGAAGGGCAAAACAACAGGGAACAGAGGTGCTTGTGATCTAAATTTCAAGATGTTTTGCTAATCAACATTTTGAATATCCCATCACATCATGTGAATAGATTTGTTTTTCATTACCAATAGTATTATCCCATTGTTTTCTTAAAGCACACACTTCATACCTGTTCACACACATGAATGTGTAAATTGTTAACTCAGAACATTTTTGCGGACATGATTTACCTCAAGCACAACAATTTAGATAAAAGGTGAAACTTGAAAAATTAAGAAAAAGCAAGAAATAATGTAAATGTGTTTAAAGTAGTTAACTTTAAGAGAACAAACATGACATTTTTTGTAAAACAGTACTACACACACCTTAAAATTCACGTGGATTTTGATAAAATAATATAGTTTGAGGATGAGAATGAGCATAAAATGCGATTGATTTTGGTGTCCTGCTGGGCTGTGTCTGGCAAACAGTCTGCCTGTCAAGCGTGACAAATCTCAATCTTATTGTGCCGCATGGAGTTCAGCATCACTGCACGATAATACATTACACACTTGGGACATCAAAAGGGTTCTTGGGAATGTTTAATATTTGTGGGTGGGTGAAATTGATGTCATCACAGTCTCTTTATATGTAGTCTCCCATGTTATGGGGGAGGGGGAGAGGAGAACTAGGGAATTATCTCAGGGTATCCTCAGACTGATTAGCTCACTTTTAATGCATGTAATCACCCATGAATTGAGAGGGCATGGGAACTATTCTGATAGGTTAGAAATGAGGAATAATACAATGTGAATGTAGCGTTTGGTTAGTTGCTCTTTCAGGTCTTTGTGTATAGACATGTGAAATATTTTCTAATTACAGGAAATTGAAGGTGTTAAAGGGCCATTGTTATCATGAACCTCTGCCTTGAAAGCCAACAATGTCTGATGTAACCAAATGCCAGACAGTGAATTTGCAGCACTTGTTTTTAATTGTGCTGCTATTGAAATAAATGCTTGGAAATCATGACGCTGATCCAAGTCGATGAGTAGTTAGGAAAAAGCAATATCGTGTTGAGAAGCCATAGGTGTTTTCTACATGTCCTATGTAAACCGAGCAACAGTGCCACATTCTGCAGATTTTAAGGGTATGTTTAAGGGTCCAAGTTTATTCTGAGTTGGCGTCTCTTACAGTCTGTATTTAAACATCTGCAGGTAGATGAGGCAGGATTTCTCATTCTTGTCTGTATACACAGAAACTGAAAGAGGAGATATTTGTAAAGGGGGAGTTACTCAGTGGCTTTATAAACATAGAAAATTAAGAACAGGATGTCACTTTTTGTTTTATTAAAATCCCACTTTTAATTTTTTCTCATATCCTCCAATGTTATTACGTATCCAATAAGGAGGCCAGAAGATATTAAGTGTGTAGGGGCATTGGTGAGAGATATGGGATGACCATGGGTAGTATGGGGAAGAGTAGAAAATATTGGAAACATTGAAATAAAACCATGTGGGACAAGATATTTCAAACTGCTAAAATAACATGCTGGCATCATGAATGACCCGTGAAGTTCCTGTTGTGGAAGATGAAAGATTAAAGTTAGCATAGACTTGGGTCTTCCCCATTACTCATGTCAGATTCTGTATTGGCACACACACATATGATGTTTCCTTACAGATTCATTGTGATAATCTGTTCCTAATCATCACATTTTCACTCTAAACATTTCTGCTGCGTGCAACTTTTATTGTGTTTTGGTATATTCTGTTAGCAGCTCAATATTCACAGAGTAACAAGTTTAACATTGACCTGCCAGTGCTCCTTTATAAGATATAAGTGCAGGACTGAGAGTTGGGGGTGGATTATGATACCATTGGTCCAATATTGTGGACATTGTGAGAAAACAGGTCCAGGTTTCTTATCTGTTAATGCTTTACCATCCGACCAGCGCTTTGGGACGTCCTCCCGATGTGAAAGGTGTTCTATAAATGTAATTTTGTTGTTGTTGAGGTCCATAGCAGTTGTCAAGCCTTTCAGATTACATACTGCTTTCTTTATCACAGAATAAACTCCTCTGACATTATCTTGAGTGCAAACCCAGTCCTTCCACATAAAGAAATGCTTAGAGACCATAAGAGTATATCCTTCACCTCAGTGCATTCAAGCATTGGGTGATATTGAATTTGGGTTTGATTTGGGTCAGTCAGGTGGCGGACACATGCAGAAACCCATCACCATGCTTAAGCATATCCAAAACAACCTGAGAGTTCCATTCGTCCCATCTATACATGGCAATTTCTGTGTTTGGAATGGAATGAGCACTGTCTTCCCAGAGAGACATATCCTGCTTACCTAATTCTCCCCAATCCTTCTCTACTGCGCTTGAGTCATCCAAACTTCTGCACTCTGGCCCTCTTCCTGCCATAACATCACTTTCTCCTGAAAACTCCCTCACTATTATTCTCAAAAGCATTCACCTCCTCCACTGCCTCCTATTTTGGCAAATGCCCCTGGTAACACCAGCCATCTCCACTCCCTCAAATCATAGTTACATGCTATGAAACACACCTGGCTCAAATCCAACCTAACAGTCCAGATTTAGCTGGACCCATCGCTCCACTCGCCTTCGCCAAATAGGCCTACCCCAGGATCATCCTGGAAGCCAAGGACCATAAGACGTAGGAGTAGGAGTAGGCTATTCGGCCCCTCAAGCCTGCCCTGCCATTTAATAAAACCATGGCAAATCTTGTAACCTAATTCTATTTACCCCATATCCCTTAATCCCTCTATCTTTTAGAAGCACGGACCACCGTGAAGCTCCTCTTCTCACCACAAGCCAGCTCCTTCACCCTTCCCTCGCCCATCCTCTCCTCCAACTCCAAATGCAAGGAGATGATGGGCTTCCTCAGGTCCAAAATTGAGAGGATCCGCTTTGCTGTCTCTGCCCCTATCTCTGTCTCTGCAACTCCCTCTCCTCCTCCCACTCCCGCACTGAGCTCTTTATATCCCTCCCTCCCCATTTTCGACCCGGTCTCTCCTTCATCCCTCTCCCCCCTCATAACCTTTGACCCATCCCTGTTCCCTAACTACTATCCAATCTCCAATCTGCCTATCCGCTCAACAGTACCGAAACAAGTTGGAGTACTTGTGTTTCCTATTTTGAGTCCTATATGTAGTACCTTGCATTCATCTATGTTAAACCGTATTTGCCATTTCTTGAGGTCCAAGTCTATGTTTTAACATAGTGAGCGATGAGTCAACTAACATCCCAAGACCATTCAGCTTTCCCCTTGGCATGTTCTTTCCCATCCATGGAGTACTTGTGTTTCCTATTTTTGATCCTATATCTAGTACATTGCAATTATCTGTGTTAAGCCTTATTTGATGATTATCAGCCAAGTGCATACCCTACTAAGCTCTGTTTAGGGGCTATTAGCTATTTCCTTGATTCCACAGTGCCCCCAACTTGGTATGTAACTGTCTTACACTGGGTCTACGAATCCCAGTTATTAATATATACAAAGAAGAGGGATCCCTGTACAGACCCCTGTGACACCCTGCTAAATACCTCACCCCATTTTGACCTTACTCCCCTAATAAAGACTCTCTGCTTCAATCCCGTCAGCAAATTTTCAATCCATGTCCACATTTTGTCCTTGATACCCAGCGACTACAAATGGACAACATGACTTGAGAGAGAGCAGGTCAGGCAGCATCTATGGAGAAAGGAAAGTGGTTCAACGTTTCGGGTCCATGACTCTTTGTCAGAACTGGGGGATGTTGGGAGGGAGAGGTTTTAAGGACTAACAGAGAGGGGAGGTAGGGCAAGGAAGTCAAAGGAGAAAATGGGGTGGAGGACAGGGGATGATGGGTTAAAGAGGTGTTAATGAAACAAAACACAGGAGGGTAGCAGAAGCAGACCAGAGAGAGAAAAGGTGTGTCTGGGACTCAGATGATGTGTTAATGATCACAGAAGAAGGGGAAGGAGAAGGTAAGCTGTTATGGGAAATGGAAAGATGGAAGCTGTTCTTATGTTCTGAAGTGGTTGAACTCAATATTGAGGCCAGAGGACTGTAAGGTCCCTAGCAAATAGATGAGGTGCTGTTCCTCGAGCTTGAGCTGTGCTTCATTGGAACAGCATATAATAATCCTTGCATTTGACATAGCACTTTTCACATGTTCTAGATGTCTCAAAGTGCTTCGCAGAATATACTGTAAAGTGAAGTGATTGTATATTTGTGGGCAAAATGTGGCAGCCAATTGCGCACAGCAGTGTTCCACAAACAGTCGTGGATTGAAGTGACCAATGTATTATTGTTATAATTTTTTTAAAGGAATTATTACCCCCGGAAAAGGGATCCAGCAATCAGCTAATAACCAGGTTCCTGCTTACTGCTAGGTAAACAGAGGAGTGTGGAGTAAAGAAACTTGCCCAATATTTCGCCCTGTTGGGAATTGAACCCAGGTCTCTCGCTTGGGATGCGAGTGCTCTAAACACTGAGCTACATGACTCCATGAGACCATGGATGGAAAGTTCAGAGTGCGAGTAGGAGGGAGTGCTGAGTGGCAAGCAACCGGAAGCTCAGTGTTGTGCTTGTGAACAGCACGGAGATGTTCAGCGAATCAATCACCCAATCTGCATTGGTCTCCCCAGTGTAGAGGAGACCACATCATGAGCAGCAAATACAGTAAACTACATTGGTGGTAGTGCACCGTAAATCACTGTCTCACTTGAAATCTGTGTTTGGGGCCCTGGACAGTGGTATGGGAGGAGGTGAAAGGGCAGGTATTGAATCTCCTGCGCTGGCATGGGAAGGTGCCGGGGGGAGGAGAGCAGGTGTTGATGGTGATGGAGGAATGAACCAGGGAGTCACGGAGGGAACAGTCTCTTCGGAATAGAGGGAAGGGGAGGAAAAGATATGTTTGGTGGTTGGAACACGCTGGAGGTGCCGGAAATGGCAGAGAATTATTCGTTGGATGTTGAGGCTAGTGAGGTGGAAGGTGAGGATTAGGGGGACCCTATTACGGTTATGGGAAGAAGGGTAGGGGTGAGGGCAGAGGTGCGGGAAATAGGGCGGACACAGTCGAGGGCCCATTCTACCATGGTGGATGGAAATGGCTGAGGAAAAAGTAGGACATTTGAGTTGCTCTGGTGTTAAAGATGGCATCGTCAGAGCAAATGCGTCGGAGGCGGAGGAACTGGGAAAAGGAAATGGAGTCTTTGCAGGAGGTGAGGTGGGAGGAGTTGTAGTCCAGGTAACTGTGAGAGTTGGTGAGATTATAAAAGATATCCGTGGATAATCTATGCCCCAAGATGTAAGTGGTGAAGTCGAGGAAGGGAAGGGTCTGAGATGGACCAAGTGAATTTAATGGAGGGGTAGAAGATGGAAGCGAAATTTGTGAATTTTTCTAGCTCACTGCGAGAGCAGGAAGTAGCTCCAATACAGTTGTCGATGTATCTGAGGAACAGGTCAGGGAGTGGACCTGAGTCGGCCCAGAACACAAAGTGTTCCAGGTGGCTGACAAACAGGCAGGCATATGGGTTCCCATAGCGACATCTTTTACTTGGAGGAAGTGGGTGGAGTTGAAGATGAAGTTGTTCAATGTTAGAATAAGTTCAGCCAGGCGGAGGAGGGTGGTGGTGGATGGAGACTGGTTGGGCCACTGTTTCAGGTGGCAGCGGAGGGCCTGCAAGGCCTTGAAGGGTCATGGACCTGAAACGTTGACCCACTTTCCTCTCTCCATAGATGCTGCCTGATCTACTGAGTGTTCCCAGGGATCTCTGTTTTTGTTTCAGATTTCCAGGATTTTGCAGTATTTTACGTTTTTTATGACTTGAGACAGGCTGGCTATATTTTGCCTATAATGGGAAAATGTATTGCTCATCCTTCTTTTATGCTACTGCTTATTCTAGAGGGCAACTTTTTTTTCCAGGTTTGGTGAAAAGGGCAGTGCCATCAGAATTGAGAAAATTATTTATACAGGGAAGGAGGGAAAGAGCACTCAAGGCTGTCCGATTGCAAAATGGGTGAGTGCTTACATTTCTCTAATGCTTTGTGATGTGACAGATCAACATTTCTTGACATGGCATTTGAATATAACCGCTGAGAGAAAGTATATGAAAAGAGTTAGATTTAGGTACATTATATGATTGCATAAATAGGACTATAAATCACACCTTAAAGTGCTTATTCTTTATACTTAAGATTAATTGTACATCAAAACTATTACAATTACTAAAATCGATGATGAGTGGCAGGCTGGCATAAACTCCTCCATGCAACACAAATATACACAAAAGGTAATATTATGTGAATATATATAAAAGTCGGTATCCTGCAAAGGTCAGGCATTTAGCTTATCTGCCTCACTCACTGGAACTCTGGAGTCCCTCTGAATTGTCCCTCTCTCACCTGTTCCATCGTCAGTCTCAAACCTACCTCTTTAACCCCTCTCCACCCACCTCGGCTCCAGGCCCCAGCTCAGGTGTCAAACCAGGATTATTAAGTGCTATGGGATGTCCTCCTGACATGAATGGTGCTGTATAAATGGAAGTTTGCATTGTATTACATGTGACGAAAGGACAAGGTTTAGGATTAAAAGATCTAGAAAGATCTCGAGGCTGAATGGCCTCATCTTGTTCCTATTTTTGTATGTTTGTAGATATGCTCAATGTCATTTGACCCACCAGGTGACAATGACCACAGCTCAATGACATTGAGTTTGGCTTTGTAAATAGCCCAAACATACAACCAAACTTACTTTAAGCATATGCAAACTAGGGATCTGAGGGCTGTGCTAAGAAACATAAACTGGGAGGCATTGTTGAAGGACAAATCAATTAAGAATAAATACATATCTTGTAGCTAAGTGGTTAGAGCACTCACCTCGCAGGCGTAAGGACCTGGGTTCCATTCCCAGTAGGACGAAACGTTGGGCAAGTTTCCTTACTCCTTACGCCTCTGTTTACCAGCATTAAGTAGGCATCCGGTTGTTAGTCAATTGGCGGATCACTTTTCCGGGGGTAATAATTCCTTCAAAAATAATAATTTGGTCACTCAATTCGCGACTGTTTGAGGTACACTGTTGTGCGCAATTGGCTGCCGCGTTTCACCCACAAAACATACAGTCAATTCACTTTACAACATATTCTGTGAAACCCTTTGTGACTTCGCCAAGATGGGATAAGGCGCTATATCAAATGCAAAGATTGTTATTAATCTTCCTATTAGTGGCATTTGGAATGTGCAACCCTTCAAAAACAAGCCCAAGGCTCCGGTCTGCTGCACATTCCCCGCCCCAACCGCCCTACCATCGGTGGCCGGGCCTTCAGCCTCTCAGCCCCGAGGCTCTGGAACTCTATCCCCCAGTGCCTTCGCCGCTTCCTCCCTTTCCTCCTTCAAGGCCGGTCTCAAGACCTTTCTCTTTGACTGTGCCTTTTATATTAATAATAATAATAATAATCCTTGCATTTGATATAGTGCTTTTCACGTCGGGAGGACGTCCCAAAGCGCTTCACAGAACACTGTAAAGTGAATTGACTGTATTTTTTGTGGGCAAACGCGGCAGCCAATTGCGCACAGCAATGTCCCACAAACAGTCGTAGATTGAAAATGACCAATTTATTATTGTTTTTGGTTTTGGAGGGATTATTATTAGGCGTGTGGAGTAAGGAAACTTGCCCAAGGTTTCGCCCTGTCTGGAATTGAACTCAGGTCTCTCGCTTGCAAAGCGAGTGCTCTAACCACTGAGCTACAGGACTCCAAGGGAACCTTCAGCTCCCCTCTCGACTCTCTACTCACTCCTCGCTCCCTCCCTTCCCTCACCCTGACCATTTCCCCACTGCTCGGGTCCTGACCCAACTGTACAGCGCCTTGGGACGTCCTCCCGACGTGAAAGCCGCTCTATAAATGGAATCTTGTTGTTGTTGTTGTTGTAAATAGCAAAGTGCAGCAGGGGCAAAATAAACAAAAACATACAGCGAAATGGATCAATAGGAAGATGAAGAAGGAAGGTTGAGGAGCGGTGTTTGCTGTGTGGAGATTTACCAGCTCTGGGCTAAGTCAAACGCCTTCTCCTCAGTTGTCAGAAACTTGTAGAGAATCCCCAGCAACTGAAGCTCGTCGGCATATGTTCCACCCCGGCAGCACGGGTTGGAGGGCAGCTGGAGAGACCGCGGGTTGGCTGCAGCGAGGTGTCTATCATGCTGAGTGCCCCTCCCCAGCAGTTTGGTGATGTCAATGGGTTCGAGAGCAGAGTGTATCCCATCCCAGAGTCTGTGAGTCAGCAAGGCACTGAGTCATGGCAAATGCAAGGATTGCACGTGCCAAATGCCACCAGTAGGAAGATTTATAAAGAAAGTGGCCATTGGGCTGAATACAAAACTGTACAGAAAGAGATAAAATGAGATTAAGGAAACCAAGAGAGAACCGGAAAGATACACAGAACGTAAGAATTTGCTAGTCGAAAGAAGACCAAGGTCCATCTAGTTCGCCTTCCACCATCCTGGCAGTCGCTTGACATGTCATGTCCCAGTTATACACTGTATCCCAAGATATTATTTTCCAGCAGAAATCTATCTAATTTGCTCTTGAAACAAATGACATTTTCTGCTTCCTCCGTCTCCCTAGGGAACCTGTTCCGTAAGTTAACCACACTCTCACTGAAACAGTGTTTCTGCAGATTTGTTCTGAATTTACCCCCTTCAGTAGTAGGCCGTGTCCTCTGGTTTTACTGTTTAGTACAAGATAAAACAGCTCGTCATGGTCTACATTATCTATTCCCTTCAGAATCTTAAAGACCGTAATCATATCGCCCCTCAACTGTCTCTTCTCCAGTATGAACATGCCCAGTTTATCTAAACATAGGAACAAATGCAAAACATAACCCCAAACAAATCATTCAATATTGTAACAATAAGAAGGTAGCCAGGGAAAATGTTAAAATCCTAAGAAATTCAAATGGAGTTGAAAATGAGAATAAACAGGAAAGCAAACCGATTAAGTGACTACTTCCTGGAGATTTTTACCAGCGAGGACACTAAGAACATGCCTTCCCTCCCTCCATAACAAATTATAGTTGTATAGCACTTTTCACCCTGGGAAGACGTCCCAAAGCATTGGACAGTCAAGGATGACATCCAGGAAACATTGTTTGAGCTCCAACCAATAATAACAATAAGTTGTATAGCAGCATAACTATGCGGGTAGTATCTTGGAGCACTTAACAGTGGCAGATCTTCACGCCGAGCTGGAGAGAGGTGGGAGGTGACCATAGGCACAGTCCAGGAAGATGGTCTTCATGATGCATCTGAAAACCTGCAAAATAATCTAGTAATTGAGAGCCAAGGTGGTTCAGAAAAGGTTATCTGACCAGTCTCATAGACCTTTTTGAGGAAATGGTTGCCCAAAAAGCCACATGATGCACTGTAGCTAAACCACCCGAACAAAATACCACATGAAATAGTCATCAAACTATGGCCAGTGGGTATCGAGGATAAGACATGAACATGGATTCAGAATTGGCTGAAGGTTAGGAAGCAGAGGGTTTTTATTAAGTGAGCTAGGTCAAATTGAGAGGAGGCATTAAGTGGAGTGGCTCAGGTGTCCACTGAAACTCCTGTTCCTTGCGGAGAAATGTGGAATCAGAACAGGTAGCTTGAGCATCAGAGCTTGAGTATCAGTTGAGAATTATCACATAGCTGAAAACTGGCAAATTTTCCATACAGAAATATGAAATATAGGAAGTTAAAAATAGGAGGCACGTCCATGGATAGGGTAGAACTTGTCAAGGGGAAAGCTGAAAAAAATCAACAACAACATTACATTTGTATAGCGCCTTTCACATCGGGAGGATGTCCTGAGCTGGGGGTCGCGGTCGGGGAGGGTGGAGGGCAAGGGGGGGGAATCAGGGTAATCGAGGCACGGTCGAAGCGGAGAGCATTGAGATGGGTCTTGAAGAAGGCAAGGAAGGGGGCTAGGCGGACGGACTGCAGATAGAGTTCCTGAAGGTGGGGGCAGAGTGGCTGAAGGCCCGCCCGCCAATGGTGGTGCGGGCGAGGCAGGGGATGTGAAGCAGGCCGGAGCCCACCGAACAGAGGGAGTGGGCAGTTTGGTAGGGAGTTAGGAGGTCGCAGAGGTAGGGCTTTGAAGGTGAGGACCGGGATCTTGAACTGTATCCTCTGTGTGATGGGAAGCCAGTGGAGTCGGGCGAGGATGGGGCTGATAGGGTCATAGACCCTGGTGTGGGAGAAGACACGGGCTGCAGAGTTCTGGAAGATCTGCAGTTTATGGAGGGAGGAGTTAGGCAGGCTGACAAGCAAGGAGTTTGCGTAGTCAAGTCTGGATGTTATGAATGCGTGTACGAGGGTTTTGGTGGCCTGCGGTGTGAGACAGTGGCAGAGCCGGGTGATGTTGTGGAGGTGGGGGAAGGCAGAGCGGGTCATGGCATGGGATGTGGGCTAGAAAGAATAGTTGAGGGTCAAACAAGACCTCAAGTTCCGGACTGGCTTAGTAAGGTGGAGTGTGCATCCATGGATGCACCAGAGGTGTGGAGGGTCTGACAGGAGCCAATCAGGAATACCTCGGTCTTGTTGACGTTCAACGTTTAGGGTTGCAAAGGCAAACTCAGGGCAGACACCAACTGGATTGTGCTGGTTACAGGAAAGTTTAATGAGGCCAGAGTCCTGAACACATTTAAGAATCAGCTTTTTTCGCCCACAAAATATATAGTCAATTCACTTTACAATATATTCTGTGAAGCACTTTGAGACATCTCGAAGATGTGATAGGGCGCTGTATCAAATGCAAGGATTATTAATATACCTTGATTTGGTGATAGGAGGGTGTGTGTTCTGGAAGGATGAGATCAAATGAACTGAAGGGCTTTCTTCATCTGAACCAATCTTGTGTGTGTGGAATACGGATGGAGGACAGCATTGAGGTTAGCAATAATAACCCCCACCCCATATTGTCAAATAACAAGCTCACTGACAAGGTTCTTGCAAGAATAACGGCCACTTTGGCGAGGTTTCAAAGGCTGCTAAACCTTACCTAAACTAGAAAGAAAAAGCAGTTAAATGCTTTCAGAAGAGATTTTGTGGGATTTTTTAAAGAATGAAATATAATTAAGTTGGACTTTTGAATACATAGACTAAAAGCATTCAGAATGGGGACCTGATTTTAAATAGCTGAACCTTTGTTTTTATTGGTAACTTCAGGTCATTCGTCGAAGCGGTGAAGAGGAGAAGCTGCTATGCCTGGTGCGGGAGAGAGCTGGTCATTCTTGTGACACTGCAGTGGTCATCGTTCTGATTCTCGTGTGGGAAGGAGTTCCAATAACACTCGCTGACAAACTGTATGTGGAACTGACTCAAACTCTGAGGAAGCATGGTGCCCTCACTAGCCGAAGATGTGCACTTAATGAAGAGTAAGAAAGATTCTAACATTCTTATTTGTGCAAAAAGGGTGTGTGAGTGTGAGGCACATGTGAGATGCTGACTTTTGAGTTTTCCTACAAAATACACAGTCAATATACAGTCATTCCACGTGGCAATAAATACCGTGAAGATCTTTGAGACATTTTGGCAACCTGATGAGATGCTATATCCCTATACACCTATAAGGTTCAAGGATTATTATTAATTATTATTATAGTGTGCGAGGTATAATACGTGAGGTTTAGTATTTGAGGCACAGGATGTGAGGTTCAGGGTGTGAGGTATCCTTTATATCATTGATTCAGAAATGGACTATTTCTCGATTTGTGAATGACACTAAGCAAATTGTGAAGAGGACATGCAAAAAATACAAGGAGATTTTTGTTGGTCAGGTGAGTTCAATTCCAGGCAGGGCGAAACCTTGGGCAAGTTTCCTTACTCCACACGCCTAATAATAATCCCTCCAAAAAACAAAAAACAATAATAAAATTGGTCATTTTCAATCCACGACTGTTTGTGGGACATTGCTGTGTGCAATTGACTGCCGCGTTCGCCCACAAATATCCAGTCAATTCACTTTACAGTATATTCTGTGAAGCGCTTTGGGACATCTAGAAGATGTGAAAAGGCTATATCAAATGCAAGGATTATTATTATTATTGTCTGACACATGTGGAAACCCATCACCATGCTTAAGAGTATCCAAACCAAAGTGAGAATTCCATGCATCCCACTTACACATGGAAATCCCAGAGATAGAATGTTGGAATGGAGGGAGTCATCTTGCTTGCTTAATTCCAGAAAGTATTAGGTGCAGGTTGGCAAGAGCCAAGGCTTGGGGACCCCAGAGAGTGCATTGGGGTACTGCTAGAGTCTAACCAGCTAAAACCACATAGGTTTCCATTGATATTGCTGTCCAACAAGCTTTCCTGCTGCTTGTCCAGCTAGGACCACCCTACCCATTAGGGCCTTGGTTGCAAGGTTAACAGAAGCTGAGTAGGATGATACCCTGTCCCCAGTGACTGGTCTGCTCTTCCAAGTCCTGTCAGGCTGGCTGTGCTGTCATCAGCAGTACCCTGGAATACTGCGGATCCGTCTAGCTCAGGAACCAGACTACCTTGACCGCCACAGAGGGCTGGCTCGATTCCGATATTCTGTAGTCATTTGGAGCCAGTTCAGTTCCAAGGTTCCCACTTACCTCTCCCCCCGTCCCCCGAAGGAGGATAGTGCAACGGGACATAGACAGATTAAGTAATTGTCAGAACTATGGCAGGTGGAGTATACCATTGGTAGGCTATTTGGTAGTACACAAAAGAATATTATTTGGGAGAAGGTTTTAAATGGGGAAACATCAGGAGGGGTAGATGAGCTGAGAAATCCACAGTTCATTAAAATCTAGTTTGAAACTGTAGAAAGTAATTAATAAGGCAAATGGGATGCTGGTCTTTACTACAAGATGCCTAGAATATAAAATGAATGATGTGCTTCTGCAATCATATAGAGAACTGATCAGTGGGAGTTACAGTGTGTAACTTTCTGTCTCCCAACTAACTTTTCTTGGAGTGTGGAAAAGATTTCCTACATATCCAGCTTTATTTTTTTAAATTGTATTACCACACTATCTTGACAATTAAAGTGATAGATCCAAACAGCAATTCCAGGTAACTTTCTTAATAATCATTCAGTGAAAGATCCACTGGACTTAACTCAATTGTGCAACAGCATTCTATAATCACATTTAACGTTATAGTAATACCAAATCTTGCCATGTTTAGATATCTCTCTGATGGACTGTGATGAATAAACATGATGTCAGCATCAAAATGACGTAAAATGGACTCTGCCCCTCCTAGGGCCAGGATTATGTTATTGAGATATCTCTCCAGACATCAGGACAGGAATGTCTGGAGCTGGTGTGGGCCATGAGGGCTAAGCAATTCAAATACAAATAAAAATGTGTACTTTCATCCATGTCTTTGGAATTGTAAGTTTTTGATAAGATGAAGTGCGCCCATAGTTCAAATTAGTCATGGTTCCAAACCTAATGGGCAGCTACCTACAACGCTGACTGTTTTTCTGTTAGGAAAGTGAGACTTACAATAGCTAGAAGTTGACGGGTGCATCGTCATCTTGTGCTGAAGTTTTCAGTATTGTACAAAGATAGAGGAAACTGAACTACAGAGCCCAGAAGAGTTTGTATAACATTCCAATGCTTTCAAAGAAAGGTTGCTGCATTTTATCAGTGAATAACATGCTCTTATTTATTTTGTGTAAAATAAATATTTGCTTACTTTGGAAATTGCCTTAATGGTCACAATTTTTGGCATGCAGAATTTTCCTTCTGAGTAGTTAAATAACTTTGATTTAAATGTGAGACCATGTGCCAGTGACTGCAGTAAATATTTTTATATTCTCTGTTTTGCAACATCTACTAATTTATCCACCTCCTCCCTTTGAATATGTCTGATGATACACTTCCACAATTTGTTTTAAGAGTACAGTATTTTTTACAACCTTTTTAACACTATCTTTGCAAAACTCTGAACAAATAAAATTCATTATTTTTATTTTGTGTATGCGGTGCTTAAATTGTGTGCACTTTTCTTGTTAAGAAGTTAACCCAAATAAGTAATTGCTAGAAACTTTCTATATCCAACCTTATTAGTGCTGCAGCTCATGTCAAAAAATCAAATATTCTATTTTGCCTAGAAAAATATACAGTCATTGCACTTTCCAGTATATCTTGTGAAATACTTTGAAATGTTCCCCAAGTATGAAAGGTGCCTCAGTTTATCAAATTAAATGATTATTATTCTTACAAAATTAAATATTGATTTTGATAGTGCACTTTATTTAGTGCAAATATTGGATAGTGTGCTTTATCAAAAAGAATGATTGTTTTACATACTATCACAGTTATTAGGATATCAGAATTAAGCACTCTGTAAAACAATTCATTGTCAACCTTAGAACTTTCAATCTGCACTAGTATCAACAGTGAAGTTCAGCTTTGGGTGACACTGGCATGGTAAACATTTTGTCTGTTTCACAGTCATCATTGTGCCTGCTTCAATCCACAACTGTTTGTGGGACACTACTATGCCGCGTTTTGCCCACAAAATATAAATCTAATTCACTTTACAGTATATTCTGTGAAGCGCTTTGAGAAGTCTTGAAGATGTGATAAGGCACTATATCAAATGCAAGACTTATTATTATTATTCAAGTCCCAATGTGGGCCTTGAACTGACTCTGACTCAAAGGCAAGATGTATTACCACTGAGCCAGGCTGACATATGACATAGCTCCAAAACTAAATAAAGAAACTTCCAATTTATCAAGGAGAAGCCTGCAAAGGGACGATAAACACACACATTCATTGCTGGTATTGGAAATGCAGATGCGCAAAGGTAACTGTTTGCGTAACATGCTTTCTGTGGCCATGAGAATGATTTAAATTAAAACATCATCACTCTGACCATTTCTTACAGACGGACATGTGCTTGCCAAGGGTTAGACCAGGAAACTTGCGGAGCTTCATTCTCATTTGGCTGCTCCTGGAGTATGTATTATAATGGATGTAAATTTGCAAGAAGTAAAGCCCCAAGGAAATTCAAGCTGCTTGGTGATGACCCCAAAGAAGTGAGTATCTCCCCTCATCGTTTATACCAAGGTACTCAATCAGAGAATGTGTTGGTGCATACATCTAACAATTGTGTTGAATGCCAACAAGATAGCGGCTCTCCACTTGGCTGCCGTCAGCGCCTTCTCAGGTGCTGACAGCATCAATCTACACAAATTTACATTTCACCTCCTGAAGCCAGTGCAGAACTTTGGTGGGTTGTTCGACTCAACTGTCTTTTAAACCACACTGCACTGACCTGCTCAGCTTTCCCTCACCTTCACATCGCCTGCGACTGTCACTACCTCTCCCCTTGGGCTGCCGAGGCTCTGATCCATGCTTTTAAACACGTCCAGTCTTGATTACGCCAACTCCCTGCTTGCCAAATCTTCCCTCCACAAGCTGCAGACCATTCAGAATTCTGCAACTTATGTCCTCTTCCTCATCAGGCTCTATGATCCTATCATCTCCACCCTGTGCAACTCCACTGGCTCCCTATCCACCAGAGGATGGGAAACAGAGAATCCTCGGCCTCACTTTTAAACCCTTCGATTGTCTTGCCCCTCCTGAAACCAACCCCCAGCTCAGATGCAAACTCTTGACTGCCCAGCTCCTTAGGACATTCTGACATGAAAGGAGTTATATAAATGGAATTTGTTGTTGATGTTGTAAGTAGGATGTGTCCCTCCAAGGAGAGAGTGCAAATTCCATTTATGAATACTTACCAGGTCTGTATTTACATATAAGAAATTTGAATTGTTTAAGAAATAACCTAAGATTAATTTACTTAAATTTGTGAATTACAACTGTCCCAGGAGCTGTCTGGACAGAGGATACAGTAGTTTCAACACTGACTTTGTAAATTGCTCAGATGTTTCTGACACTGATTTATATTTTTTTGCCCAGGAGGAAAGGCTTGAGTCAAACTTACAAAATCTTGCAACCTTATTGGCCCCGACTTACAAAAAATTCGCCCCAGATGCTTTCAACAACCAGGTGAGTAGATCTCCATCCTGGTTCAGTTCACAGGTAGACAGATAGCTACCACCCAATGCACACCCCACTCCAAAGGTTGATGAATACAATTGGAAATACATTGATTTTAAAGGGATCTTGTTTAAGCTTTTATCATATTTGCTACAGCAACTTGCCAGCTTAAAAAGGTTTAAGAAATTTTAATTAGAGAAGCATTAAATCAATTTATAAGCAATTCCTTACCAACTATAAAATCAGCCAGTCTGAATGGCTTGGGATTCTTCTGCTTCCATTGTTTCAGGTGAGTACCATTTGATGTGTCCACCATTTGCATTGCTTACAAATGTGCTGGTTTCTGTGGAGGAGCCTGTATGAAGCAGTAAACAGGGTTTCAAGGAGACATGCCTGGAAAAGTCAAGCTGGCTCTCATGAAGGCAGACTTGAAGATATAGACATTTCCTCACGTCAAACTTCGAGTGAGTAGTGTGCGCCTATCTCAACAGTATCATGTTGCACTGATACTAAGAACAAATCAATATTCAGCATAATTTAGATACATGACTGATTCTTTTTTGGTAATAGATAAAGATGCTGCAGGTGAATTGACTTTCCAGTGCTGCATTGCAGAAGCGCTCATTAGAAACCAGGTCCCCATGTTCAATTGGGTGTTAAAGATCCCATTGTACTATTCAAAAAGAGAGAAGGGAGTTTCATTGGTTGGCAAGTTGGCATTGAGAGGGTACAAATTTAAGAAGTTATTGATGGAATGAAATACCTGTAATAGGTGTCTTGCCTCTGAGTCAGAAGGTTGTGGGTTCAGCTACACATCGCAACTTTGAACTGTAAATCTAGGCTGAAAACTACACAACAGCACTTGGGAGCACAACATTGTTGGAAATACCATCTTTCTAATAAGATACTAAACCAAGTTCCCTTCTGCATGTTCAGGTAGATGTTAAATATTGCATGGACTGTTTGAAAAGGGAAAGGAATTTTTTCCGGTGTCATGCCAACAATCCCCCAGATAAAATTGGTCACTCACTTTGTGGCTGTTTGTGGGACATTCTGTGTTGAATTCACCTACAAATACACAGTCACTAGCTTTATAGTAAACCATTCTCTAAAAAAATGTTACAATAAAATAGCAGATGAAAGTTACTGGTACTCTTGATAATGTATTGCATACCACTGGTTGTAACTGGGCAACTGTAGCTCGATATCAGGCAAGTGCTCTGAGGGAATTGTCCAATAATCTCAAGTGCTTGTCACTGCTGCAGGAAATGCTGTAGGAAACACTCCAATGAAAAAATGTTATCAGCGGTACAACACTTTTTTTTCCAAACATGCCTCTTGACCTCCATTCAATTAGATTATTCCCAGCTTCTAACACTACGAATCGTAACTTCGAATGGCCCATAATTAAGAAGAGGAATTAAATATAATTTTCCCTTTGTTTGACCCACCGTAAAAATAAAGGTTTTCCCCCTATGATCTCAATCAGATGATGCTGGCTGCACTGTGCACATTAAGGGGAATTTTTTCCTGAAAACTGATGGGAAAACTTTATGATATGAAGTTCAGGAATATGGGACTTCAGTTATCAGGAGAGGCTAGAGAAGCTAGCATTATCTTTTCAAAGAGCCAGCACAGACACGATAGGCCGAATGGCCTCCTTCTGTGCTGTATAATTCTATGATTCTATGACACGGGAGGGATCTTTTGTGACAAAGACAAGTGGAAGTTGAGACAAACTATTGTTGGAAATCTCTCTCAAGCATGTATACAGTAATCAAATTGTAAAATGGATGAGAGGTTCAAACTCTTTGGTACAATCGTATATGCACACTAATCTGCCCCAAGAATAGATTTTAATCTCAACTTTGGAAGCGCACTTGCTGCTGCATTACTGTGATGTTTCCTTTTTTACACTCCAGCCAATCTGAAGGACACTGAAATTCAGTGCTGACGTAGGAGAATCTTTTGTACTGAGTCCATTTTCACGAAGAGGAAGTGAGTTTAGACCACTCTTAACTCATTCTTTGTAGGACACTAGCAGCCAGCAAACAGAGGAAACTATCACCCCATTAGTTGGATGAATTTGAACCCAGATCCTCAAGATGATAAATCAGAGTGTTAACCTATTGTTATACCCAGTCTCTTCTTCAGAGGTATTTCCAGCAAGCTTCTCCTCTCTATACGATTACAGTCCTTGTATAGTTGATCCTCAAGATGATAAATCAGAGTGTTAACCTATTGTTATACCCAGTCTCTTCTTCAGAGGTATTTCCAGCAAGCTTCTCCTCTCTATACGATTACAGTCCTTGTATAGTTGCAAAGAGTTGGAAAAGAGCCTTCAAATCTTAACTCTTGGAAATGATAGTTCACTTAAATCAGTTTTGCTATGTTAATATTACATTTATTTTGCAGAACCATAGAAATTAATGACACTGTAGGAGGCCAGTCCTCACATTTTTTTGTGTTAATGTTTGCTCCTCCAAGACAGTTCTGAGGTACTGGATACAAATCCCAGCACCATAGAAAGTGCCCGGTTAACATTGATTTTAAAAATAATTGTTTCCTTGGAATGCACCAACTTCCTAAATTGTACTCCTTGAGGGAGCAAGACCACTTACTTCATTGCCTGCCACAAAATACCAGCCATGTCTGCTTTGAGGGTAAAAGCTTTTGAAGGAGACTCCCATCAGATGTGGGAGATAACAGCCCCACTTTGATGGTGCGCTTTGTATCTCATATTTAGCTGCCTTTAATAATTTGCAGCCAACCTTGGAACTTGAATCTAAGGGTATTATAACTGCAAAAATTGTCTTATCCAACGCCTTGGGATGTCCTCCCGAAGTGAAAGGCACTATTCAAATCTAATCTTGTTGTTGTTGTTATCTGAATATATTTCCCATTACTGAATTGTTGATGCTATGAATTTGCTCAGTACGTCTGACCTACTTCTTTCTGTCAGGAAACACTGTAAGAAACAGGAAGAATGTAGGACTGTATTTATAGATAAAATTACAACACAATCTGATGCATCCTTCAGGATGCACAGAAAACATAATGAAACAAGGGGCGGAAAAGATAGACCACAGATTAAACAACAATTGGTTGATGTTTTATGCTACATGTAAATGTTTTCTTTTTTTTAACGCAGATTGAATTTGAGCAGAGAGCACCAGACTGTAGGCTTGGTAAGCAGGAAGGACGTCCATTCGCAGGAGTGACTGCTTGTGTGGATTTTTGTGCTCATGCTCATAGAGATCTGCACAACATGCAAAATGGCAGTACAGTGGTAAGTACAGTTCGCCAAGTAACCACTGCATTGCAACTATCTCAAGGTGTTCACTTGGACCAGATCCTACAATTGACTGTGGAGTTATGTAATTGTGTTTTACATTTATTAAATTGGATAATATTGATTGTGTCATCAATCTGAAACTGAGCACAGAGGTCATGATGGTGGAAGGGGTTGTGCAAGCTTTGGGAATCGCTTTCGTTCATAATTTCTGGTGACGAGAGAGATTAACACCTCTGCCCTCCACAACACAGTGACAATAAGCACAACATATGTTTTTCAGAGACCCAGAAATATTACTTTGATAAATAAATATTCACAATTACAATCTTAACTCCATTAAAAATCAAAGAATATGAGATATTAAAGCTATTGTGACATAGAAACTTGTGTTATACGTAAATTTGGAACTGCATCCTGGGCTCACTTCCTCTCTCACCTCATTGAAGACCCAATGGGAGAAGGGAGAGTTGCATACCAGGATTTTAAACTTAAGTGAGGCAAACTTCGAAGAGATGAGAAATGAATTGACTGTAGTTAACTGAGCTGATCTGGTAATGAGTAAACCATAGACAGACAGTGGGAAGTATTTACAGAAATAATTGATATGATAGAAAACAAGTACATTCCTAAAAGGCAAAGATTCCACTTTTGTAGTAAAGCAACCATGATTAACAAGAAGGTAAGTGGTAGTATCAAGATAAAAAAAAAGCCTTACACAAATGCAAGAAAAAGTGCTAATCCAGCAGAGTGGGAGAGCTATATGAAGCAACAAAAGGATACAAAGAAAGTAATAAGAGCTGCACGAAGGCAATATATATTTAAAAACAACTTGCAAGGGATATGAAGGCTAACAGCAAGTTTTTACAAATATAATAAGAGAAAGAGTATGGTAAAGGGAAATGTGGGCCCAGTTAAAATTAGACGAAGACGAGACTATAATGGACAATAGTAAATTGTCCTCCCACATCCTCCCGACATGAAAGGCGCTCTATAAATGTAATTTTGTTGTTGTTGTAGTAAATGGCAGACTGTATCTGTCTTCACAGTGGAGAAGAACAAAATACCAATGGTAAAGGTAACCTAAAAATAAGTCAAGGGGAAGAATTTATTAGATTTAATATAAGTGAAACAATAGTGGAGAAAATAATAGGAATTAAGATAGACAAATCTCCACCCCAGGAGATTTCCACCCAGGACATTAAAGTAAATAGGTGAGGAGATGTGTTAATCATAATCTTGACCAATGGAAAAGTGCGGAAATATTTGCTTAAAATTGTGGGTCATTTGGGGGAAATTGCAGAGGGTTGATTGGTGCTTTTGAGAGACGCATTTTGTGAAACAACCCGGATTAAACTGCAGGCATGCATTTCCTGAACATGTAGTTTTGTTTAAAATACTGAAAATTTGAATAATACACCACTTACTGAGAATTTGGTGCAGGAGCTCGGTTTAGGCCACGAGCACCATGCGCAGCCGATTTCACGCTTGTGTCGCTTTCGCGATCCCAGCACTCCCCCTGCCACACACGCGCGACCAGAGACACTCTGCCCACAGTAGCAGGTTTGTAGTGGGGCCCAGCACACTATATATAATAATAATAATAATAATCCTTGCATTTGATATAGCGCTTTTCACGTCGGGAGGACGTCCCAAAGCGCTTCACAAAACACACTGTAAAGTGAATTTGACTGTATATTTGTGGGTGAACGTGGCAGCCAATTGTGCACAGCAATGTCCCACAAACAGTCGTAGATTGAAACTGACTAATTTATTATTGTTTTGTTTTTTGGAGGGATTATTATTAGGCTCTGTGTGGAGTAAGGAAACTTGCCCAAGGTTTCGCCCTCTGCCTGGAATTGAACTCAGGTCTCTCGCTTGCAAAGCGAGTGCTCTAACCACTGAGCTACAGGACTCCACTGTGTGTACACTGTGTGAAATCTGGTATCTACAGACCTGTCAGTATAACACTGTCGACCACTCCATCCTCATACACTGCCTCTCCTCTTTACTTAATCTTCACAGACCTGCCCTTGCTTGGTTTGATTCCTATCTCTCACCGTCTCCACTTTGTTACCTCTAACGGTTTCTCCTCCAGCCCCCGCACTGTCACATCTGGCGTCCCCCAGGGCTCTGTCCTCGGCCCTCTCCTCTTTAATATCTACATGCTCCCCCCTTGGTGAAATCATTAATTAATAGCTTTAACAGTTTTTTTTATTTCTCTTAATTTTATTCAACACCACATCCAGCATGAAACACACCACCTGCTCCCTTGACCCCATCTTCACCCCTCTCCTTACCTCCCAGCTCCACCTCCTCGTCCCTCTACTCTCCGACACCATCAATCTCTCCCTATCATCTGGCACTGTTCCCAAACCCCTAAAAACAGCTATAATCACCCCCTTCCTGAAAAAACCTTCCCTGCCTTCTTGGAGTCCTGTAGCTCAGTAGTTAGAGTACTTGCTTTGCAAGCGAGAGACCTGGGTTCGATTCCCGGTAGGGTGAAACCTTGGGCAAGTTCCACATGCCTGATAATAATCCCTCAAGAAAATAAAACAGTAATAAATTGGTCACTTCAATCCATGACTGTTTGTTGGGCACTGCTGTGTGCAATTGGCTGCCGCATTTCGCCCTCAAAATATACAGTCAATTCACTTTACAGTGTGTTCTGTGAAGCGCTTTGGGACGTCCTCCCGACGTGAAAAGCGCTATATCAAATGCAAGGATTATTATTATTATTATTATTATTATTATTATTTATCATCCAAAGACATGGGGTCAACTTCCACATGTGTGCAGATGACACCCAACTCTATCTTTCTGCCTCCACCCTCAACTCCAGGACCACTGCTGTCCTGATAGACTGTCTGTCGGACATCAAGTCCTGGATGAGGGCAAACTTCCTACAGTTGAATGTGAACAAGACTGAGGCCCTCCTCATTGTAATCTTGTTGTTGTAGAGGGTTCTATGTCCAAGTTTGCAGATAACATTAAGTTAGGAGGCACAGTAAGTTGTGTAGAAGGGAGCAGGAAGTCTCAAACCAGATCAGAATATTTTCCTAATGGTTCAAAGACTAGGAGCTGTGGAGGAGCAAAGACATTTAGGTGTCCCAAGTTCCCAAATCACTAAAAGCTAGTACACAGGTACAAAGAGCAATCAAAAAGGCTAATGGATTGTTGGCCTTATCTCAAGGGGATTGGAATATAAAAGCGAGGGAAGTAATGCTTCAGTTATACAGAGCCTTGGTCAGATCTCATCTGGAATACTGCTTTCAGTTTTGGGCACCTCAGGAAAGATATAGTGGCTTTTGAGGGTGCACAGTGCAGATTACAACAATGATATTGGGGCCGAAAGGGTTAAATTATGAGGATTCGGGCATAAACTTGTTTTGTATTCCCTGGAGTTCAGAAGTTTGAGCTGCTATTTAATCGAGGTGTTTAAAATGATAAGGGGACTTTTATGGGGGAGTCAGCCGGATGTCTGACACATGAGAAAATCCATCACCATGCTTAAGAGTATCCAAACCAAATTGAGAATTCCATGCATTCCACCCACACATGGAAATCCCAGAGAGATTGTTGGTATGGATTGCACTCTCTCCCTGGAGCTTTATTGTACTTCAACAGGATGTGCTTTACCAGAGTTACTCGAGTACTTACATAGAGGTGAATGAGAGCTGATTAAATTAGACAAACTGATCGGGATCTGCAGAATGGAGCAGATTGCCAAGCCACAAATTCACAATATTTCACTATTTATCTGGTACCTTCCACAAAACAGACTGCAAAATGATCTTCATGGTGCACAGAGTAATGTACATACAAACAGCCTGTATTTTTGCTGCTCAGGAGCTTTTTAGATCAGACAATGAAATAATTTTATTACAAAAGCCAGATGTGATTGTTGTATATTTTCCCCAAATATACAGGTATGTACACTTACCAAAGAGGATAATCGGCATATTGGTCAAATACCAGATGATGAGCAGCTCCATGTCCTGCCTCTGTACAAAATCTCTCCGACCGATGAGTTTGGAAGCACTGAAGCTCAGGAGGCAAAAATCAAACAAGGTGCTATTCAGGTTCTGAACTCGTTCCCCCGCATGGTGAGAATGCTGGCTCAGCCTGTCAAAAGTGGACGGCAGAAGAAGCAGGAGGCAAAGAAGGCAGCAGCAGTGGCAGCAGAAAAACTCATCAATCAGGAGAACATTAAGACAGAAAAGACTCATGCGACTGCAACACGCCTGAATCAGGCCAGCTCAGAGAATGCCCCAACCAACCAGCAAATGCCAGGTAATTTAAGTAAAGATAATCCCAGATTTTCCATCAATCCTTTGATCAATTACTGCAGCTGCATTTTAAACAGTGACATGCCTGAGTTACATAACATTTAAAGGTTTGTTTGTTTTCCCGATGCCACGGAATACAGCAATGCATGACAATATTATTAAACATAAAGGCATTCAACTGGAGAAAGTTAGTTCTCATCCACGACTTGAGGTTCAACAGGAAATCAATTGGTCAGTACAGCAGTGGTCCTAGAATCGAGGGTGAAGACAGAGAGATTGAGTTGGATATCATCTGAATTCAAGATCCTCATCCTCGCCTCGAATTCAAGATCCTTATCCTCGCCTACAAGGCCATTCACGGCCTTGCTCCCTCCTACCTCCCTGACCTACTATCCCCCTACTTACCTGCCCGTACCCTCCGTTCCTCTGGCTCCGTTCTGTTCCACATCCCCCGCCCCAACCGCCCTACCACAACAACAACAACAACAACAAGATTCCATTTATAAAGCGCCTTTCACGTCAGGAGGACGTCCCAAGGCGCTGCACAGTTGGGTCATGACCCGAGCAGGGGGAAATGGTCAGGGTGAGGGGAGGGGAGGGAGCGAGGAGGGGGAAATGGTCAGGGTGAGGGGAGGGATGGGAGGGAGCGAGAAGGGGAAAGAGAGTCGAGAGGGGAGCTGAAGGCTCGGTCAAAGAGAAAGGTTTTGAGACCGGCCTTGAAGGAGGAAAGGGAGGAGGCGGCGAAGGCACTGGGGGATAGAGTTCCAGAGCTTCGGGGCTGAGAGGCTGAAGGCCCGACCACCAATGGTAGGGCGATTGGGGCGGGGGACGTGGAGCAGACCGGAGCCGGAGGAGCGGAGGGTACGGGCAGGTAGGTAGGGGGATAGTAGGTTGGAGAGGTAGGAGGGAGCAAGGCCATGAATGGCCTTGTAGGTGAGGATGAGGATCTTGAAATCAATCCTCTGGGGGATGGGGAGCCAGTGGAGGCGAGCGAGGGTGGGAGTGATGTGGTCCCGAAGCCTGGTGCGGGACAGTACACGAGCTGCAGAGTTCTGGATGACCTGCAGCTTGTGGAGGGAGGTGGCGGGAAGGCCGGCGAGGAGAGAGTTCCCATAGTCCAGCCTTGAGGTGACAAAGGCATGAACCAGGGTTTCAGCAGCGTGAGGGGTGAGGTAGTGGCGTAGTCTGGCGATGTTCCGGAGGTGATGGAAGGCGGTGCCAGTTGTGGTGTGGATGTGAGGGAGAAAGGACAGCTCAGGGTCGAACAAAACGCCGAGGTTCCTGAGTGGCTTTGAGAGGTGGAGAGTGCAGCCTTGGATGCTGATGGTGTGGTTCTCCTGAGGTGCGGAGGCGCTGACGTGAGCCAATCAGGAGGGCCTCGGTTTTTCGCACGTTGAGCTGAAGAAAGTTGTCTCTCGTCCAGGACTCGATGTCGGACAGGCAGGCTGTCAGGACATCGGTGGTCGTGGAGTTGAGAGTAGAGGAGGAAAGGTAGAGTTGGGTGTCATCCGCATACATGTGGAAGTTAACTCCATGTCTGCGGATGATGTCACCATCGGTGGCCGGGCCTTCAGCCTCTCAGCCCCGAGGCTCTGGAACTCTATCCCCCAGTGCCTTCGCCGCTTCCTCCCTTTCCTCCTTCAAGGCCGGTCTCAAGACCTTTCTCTTTGACCGTGCCTTCAGCTCCCCTCTCAACTCTCTACCCCCTCCTCGCCCCCTCCCTTCCCTCCCCTCACCCTGACCATTTCCCCCCTGCTCGGGTCCTGACCCAACTGTACAGCACCTTGGGACGTTCTCCCGACGTGAAAGGTGCTCTATAAATGGAATCTTGTTGTTGTTGTATGCATGCGGATGCTAAATCCATTACTGTGGTTGACATCACCAAGCAGAAGTATGTAAATATTAAAAAGAGACCAAGGACAGAGCCTTGAGGGCTGGGGAAGAAGCCACTGCTGGTTCACATACTGAATTCCAGATGGTCTATAGTTTTAACAGCTGTTTGACTCTTGATTGATTTTATTGAGATAATAGATGAAGAAACAAAATTTACATCACCATGACTCAAAAGAATACAAGTACTGTTTTTTATAAAAGTCTGTTATAAGAGTAAAGGAAGACTGAGAGAGGGAAGGAGCTCTTGTGGTCTTAAGGAAAAACATAGATTAAGAAATAGAAAGTTTTATTTCTGTTAGGAGGAGGAGAAGCCTCTGAAACTCAAAAGGAAGAGTGTTCTATCTGAGTACCTGTCTTCAAAACCCTTCTAAAGCCTACCTCTTTCTCCACACCTATGATTATCTCCCTTCAACCCTCAACCTGCCCAGCAACATCAGTGTGAGGGCCTTTGTGAAGTTGCTCTGAGAGCAAGGTGCTATATAAGTGCAAGTTGCTGTGATCATGCTATTGATAAAATAGGCCCTCACCAGGCTCTACTGGCTTCCAAATCTCCGAAAGGATTGATTTCAAGATCCTCACCCTCACATTCAAAATCCCTCATGACCTAACTCTATGTGACAAATGTGGAAAAGAGCAGCCTAGTTAGTGACCAGATGTGGAGAAGGAAAGAGATGTGGGATTGAACCTGATGCCAAGGTTGCAGACGGGTGCAATGAGTCTGAGGGATAGGCTAGGGAGGTTAAGGATATCAGAGCTGCAGGTGAGAAGCCATTGATGGGAACCAAGGAATGTGGCTTCTGCATGTCAATACTCAACTGCAGAAAGTTGGTGCTCATCCAGGCCTTGATTTCTGACAAGCAAAAGGGCAGAATGTTAGTGGACCTGAAGGAGGCAAAGTAGATTTGGGTGCAATCCGTATGAATGTGGAAATTGATCCAATGTCTGCAGTTGACATCAGCAAGTACGAGCATATAAATAAGGAAAAGGAGTGGGCCAAGTATCATGTTTTGGGATAAGCCGCAGGAGATTATTCAAGAGTGTGAGAAGAAATCATATGCAGAGACTAAAATGATGATGGTGGGTTAAAAAGGACTCAAACCAATAGAGTGCATTCTGACTGAGGTGATGAGGGAGGAGAGGAGGTTGAGGAGGAGGCTTGAGGCAGTGAAGAGGTCCAGGAGGACAAGGGGGCAGAGGGAGGCCTGGTTACAGAGAGAGAAGACATTATTTAGGACTTTGATGTACCTTGTCTCAGTGTTATAGGCGGAGCAGAAACCAAACTGAAGGAGCTCAAGTAGGTAGTGGACAGGTTCCACAGCTTCACTATTCGCTCACTGAAATAGTGTTTGCGTAGATTTGTTCTGAATTTACCCCTCTTCAATTGCAGGCTGTGTCCTCTGGTTCTGCTATTCTGGACAAGTTGAAACAGCCTGACATGATCTGTATTGTCTTTCCCCTTTAGAACCTTAAAGACAGCAAATGTAGAGGATGCAGTCAAGCAGATATTATTTATGTTTCTTATGACTGGAATTAATGACTGAAACACATTGTCAGGAAGGATGGTTGAGTCTAGGACACTGCACTAATTAAAAAGCAGGTTGATGCTTTGGTGGGAGTATGATAGGGTGGTTATTTCCAAGAGATGAGATCAGATGGGCAAAGAGCCTTCTTCATCTGGTGATTTGTGACAAGAAGTCTGGAATATAAATATGAGGCGGGGCTCCTCTAGTTACATCAAGTACAAAAAGGTGACAGCACAGGTGGTGGATCAGTCAACTATAAACAGTTCGTAGTGGATTCTTAGTTGATTCATGGTGGAGTCCTGTAGCTCAGTGGTTCGAGCACTTGCCTCGCAAGCGAGAGACCTGGGTTCAATTCATGGGCAGGGTGAAATGTTGGGCAAGTTTCCTTACTCCACATGCCTCTGTTTACCTAACAGTAAGTAAGAACCCGGTTATTAGTCAATTGGCGTATCGTTTTTCCGGGGGTAATTCCTTCAAAAAGAAATTGCCCAACTCAATCCACAACTGTTTGTGGGACACAGCTGGACGGAATTGAGTGCCGCGTTTTTCCCACAAAATAGACAGTCAATTCACTTTACAGTAAATTCTGTGAAGCGCTTTGAGACGTCTCGAAGATGTGATAAGGCGCTATATCAAATGCAAGGATTGTTATTGTTGTTATAAGGAAACCAGACAACTTCCTCTGAAATGAAGGGATTCAGAGTGAAAATTGGTACTGTGACATTGGACATCAAATCCATGGGTTTCACGTTCAATGGCAGTGCAATCTATCTTCAGGTCCAACTATTGTGACTGAGTTATTGACTGGCCCATTGACTAACTTTATTAACTATGTGATAACTAACACATCACACATTGTAATTTTCACCTCATTGTTCTGTAACTTTGAAAGGCATGGAATGGGGAAGGAACTTTTGAAGTGGATCCAAAATTAGCTACATTAGGGGGAACAAAAGGGTAATTATTCAAGAAGTTTCATCAGATTGGAATGAGGTGAACAGTGGGAAAGCTTCATGTTTGCACTACAGCCTCCATTGATTCCAGTTTCCGTACACATTGTAGAATAGAAACAGTTGATCAGCTTTGCAGTAGGTAACAAACTGACCTGCTGTTACAAAGGAATCCCATTATTGATTATGAAGTTGTTCCTCATAAAGCTAGAAGCTACAGTTCATATAATGTTAACTTCAGAACTTCAGTTTACATATCTTATTCCATGTAAACTTATTTTTATTGCTTTGATTTCCTACAGGTCCTGGGATTCCTCCAGCTATTCAGCAACATGCAATGCCTAGACATCCAGTGGCCGGTTTTTACCAGTCAGCCCCACCAAGTGCTTACCCAGGCTATCAGTGCAATGGGAGCACATCCATGGACAACTACCATCATTATATGGGCTCTTACTGTCCCTCACTCACACACCACATGGATATGTACCGCTATCAGGTTCCAGTGAACAAGCTTACCCTGCCACCAATTCAGACTCTCTACCAGCAATTTTCCAACTCTTACAGGTATGGCAATAACCAGATGTGTATGGGTAGATTTTGGAACTATGGTGACTATGGCATGCCAGTCAATGGCTACAGTAATTGCCAGATTGATAACAGAATACCAACAATCCCACAAATTAGAGCATATCCTCACTATGAATCATCCCCTCAAATTGAGCCACAGCTTATGGATACTGCTTCCAAACCAGTGTCCAGTTTAGGTCATCCAAGTCTGGACCATGCTGCTGTTGCACATAGCAGCCAATACCCAGCATACACAAGCCCATACTTAGCCCATGATCATCGTCCTGCTAATTCTTTCCAGATAGAAAATAAAGAAAATGAACTTAATATGCTGAGAGCTAACGGTCTCTCAAGACTTCTTCCATCAATTAATTTTGACATGGCAAACACCTCACAAGCAGGGCTGCCTGCCCCCATGATCAATTCCAGAGTGCCAGAAATCATCTCTTCTATGCCTCCACAGAATAATGTAGGTGCTCCAGAAGAGCCTCAGGAAATCTGGTCAGACAGTGAGCATAACTTCCAGGATTCAGATATAGGAGGGGTTGCAGTAGCACCATCTCATGGGTCAGTTCTTATTGAGTGTGCAAAGCGTGAACTACACGCAACAACCCCACTGAAATACCCCAACAGAAATCACCCAACTAGGATATCTCTCGTATTTTACCAACACAAGAGCATGAATGAGGCAAAGCATGGATTAGCAATGTGGGAGGCCAAGGTGGCTGAAAAGGCCAGAGAAAGAGAAGAAGAAGCCGAACGACTAGGTGTGGACTATGTGCCTACCAAATCTTACAGCAAAAAATCAAAACGGGAAGTCACAGATTCACATGAACTTGCAGAAGCAGCGCAGCTACGTTTTATCAAAACTCTTACTCAAAGGACCATGACTTTTACAACAAACTCAGTAACTACAGCATCTCCATATGCCTTTACACGGGTTACAGGGCCTTACAATCGCTGGATATAGATTCATACTCAATGGGTTACCTCATATTCTGTGCAGCTGTTAGCAAGGCAGCTCCACTATACCCTATGAGAAAAACAGTGTTTGATGCAGCACTGGAGGAAGAGCAAAACACCAGCAAATGGAGGCAGCCTCTGCCAAACCCTGTACTTAGCTCATTTTTTTTAAAGAGTGCTCACAGTTAGGATCAAGCCGAAAAGTGTCCTATGCAAAAGTGCTGTTTCAGAGTGTCATTCTGAAATATAGATACAAGCAGAAGAAACATTCTGTAAATTAATTTAATTTATTTATGCCAGACACGAGTGACCTCTTTTATCATTAATGAGCCTACTTTTTTGGAAGCAGGGCAAGAGGTATAACAAACCTCTGGTGCTGAATATTTGTACAATTACCAGGGCAACATTTAAACTACAGATTTCCATCATGTAGTTTTTAATATGGAACAATTAACAAAGTCTAACAGATTGTTTTTATCTTTCTCTATGTATTATTTGCAGTTTGCAGTCAAATTAGAACAGATTTTGTTGACTAGTCAGGAAAAAGAAACACTGAAAAGTTTTAATATCATGGTGCTACATTTTAGAGGTCTTTTAACATCTTTAATGAAAGTCTCAAATGTCATTCAGGATTAAATGGTTTCATAATAAATAAACTCCCTCAGTTCATGAATTGATGCTGAGGTGCCCTCTTATATCTCGGGGGTCTTTTAACTTAAAGTTACAATTGCTGTGTAAAATTTTTGCCTACATTTAAAATGTAGAAAAGTATTTTGGAGGGTCAATGAATTCTGATTCTGTAGTAAAGATCCTCAAATGAGTTTTTGCAGAATATTTTGTAAAATGTTGGTGTTCAAAAGCACTTTGAATATTTTAATCATTGACAACTTAAAGGGTGAAAAGAGAGGCATTAAGAGATTTATTGTAAATTAGTAATGCAAAAAAGTAATATCTTAGCCAAAAATCATCTAATGGGCTAATACATACTTTTTAAATGTCACTGATAACCTTACAGTTTGGGATTTACTGGATACAAGGAGAAAACCTTAAATGAACTTAACATAAAACACTGATTCTGGTGCTTGGTATTCAGTATGCAGCTATATTTGTTATGTTAAAGTATAAAGTCCATACTAAGTCACTAAAGTGATTGCACGGATTTAGAGCTTAGTCTTTCATATTAACATTTAGCTCCCAGCATGTTTTAGACAATAATACTATGGCTATCTTAGATCAATTTAACACATTTATAAATGAATTATATATTCACTCAATAGATTTGATTTGCAATGAGATGTTCTTGTTCGGGTGGAGATGTAATGTTTTCCAGTTACAATGTAAGCAGTGTGTGTTTGAGAGTTCAGAGAACTGAGAACATACCAGGTCAGATGAAACAGGGTTAGTTGTATTACAATGGAGAAATCAGGCAGCTGGCTTGCTGTGGTAATGTTGAAATCATTGATTTGTAAATATAAAACAAAAACAAAAAAGATGAAAAGGTGTACAGTAAATTAAATTTGTAAACAGAATTTTCTTTTCTTTTTTTTACTTAATGCTTTTACTATTTTAATACTGTAATATTTTCCTAATACTTTTTTTAAGCTTTTTTTCAGAATGGTGCTACTCAATCTGCTATGGTTAAAATGTGAGTTTAGGACATGCAAAGGGTTGGATATGTTCCTACTTGTCATATACCTCAGCTCCTGTAATAGGCAATAGGAAAATGATGAATTAGTAGTTGGTAGTGTTTTGTACACCATCATTGTTTAATTTAAAATTAGTCTTTATGACATAAACATACTTTTTCATTTTGATACTTGATAACTTGAAACTCAATCTTTTGTTCTACAAGATCAGGGATAATACAACTCTTATATTCTCCTTATGCCAATACATCACCTGTGTTTTAATATCCACCTTTTTAATTTTTTTTATTTTCAGGGATACATTCACTTTGTTTTAATCCCTTATTTTGGATTTTACGTGTATAGGGGGGGGAGGGTACATGTACTTGATGCTTCTAAATGAGCGTTAGTAAAGCAGTGGCTTGATTTTAATTATAAGTGGAAATGCAAAGTGTGTTATAGTTATTTCTTCAGAATTTCAATAATGTATGCACTGAGCTGATAAAAGGGAAAAAGGAAATGGAGCAAGTTTGTTATTTCCATGGGAGAACGGGGGTGGTATTTTAAATGAAAAAATGAACTGTGTTGTATAGAACCCAGCTTCAGTAGCAACATGTCTGTTAGATGTAAAGTGCATGTATAGGGTATTAGGTTAATGATAGCCATACTTGAAAATGCTTCAGAGTAGTGTCGACATTACTTGAATTAAATTTCAGCTTGATTGACGCATAGCAGTATATTGTTCACTTCAAAAGCTAGAGGTTAATGTATACTGAAGTGTAGGTTATTTAGCTGAGTTTGACACTAAAATCATTTTTGGTGTGCATTTTGTATGTGTTCTATTCTGTATTTTACTTTAGCTTTGCTCTTTACTGATCAATTGGATATGTTGAAAAAATAAACGAAGCTGGTTATAAATACTGTAAGTAATGTACTAAAAAGCAGAAAGTTATTTGAAAGCTGTTTATTATATCATTCCTGATAATGCTGAAATGTGGGTGTTTTTAATAAAATTTATATTTATTTAATGCAACTTGAGACACGTTTTGTATTTTTTTGTAACTATTTTCTAAAACCCTACATAAATGTTTAAAAAAAGGTGCCATCATGATTGACACATGGAAAATGTTAGCACATGATAATTGGGGATTCCAAATTTTGTTACCACAAAACATGAAACTGTGAAGAACAAGGGCCTAAATTTGGGGTTTCTAACAAGATTGTAATAATCTGAGTTGAGCAAACGGGACTCCATAGTGATAGAAATACATCAGGGCTGACCTGGGGAAGCTCTGTTCCGGTATAATCTACTTCTGAGGACAAATTATCATAAAATAATCCTTGCATTTGATGCAGTGCCTTATCACATGGTCGAGACGTCTCAAAGCTCTTCACAGAATATACTGTAAATTAATTGACTGTATAATTTGTGGGCGAAACTCAGCAGCCAATTGGGAACAGTAGTGTCCCACAAACGGTCATGGATTGAGTGACCAAATTATTCTTTTTCTTTTTTTTTTGAAGGGATTATTACAGCCAGAAAAGCGATCCGCCAATCGCCTAACAACTAGGTTCCTACTTACTGTTAGGTAAACAGAGGCGTGTGGGGTAAGGAAAGTTGCCCAACGTTTCGCGCTGCCGGGAATTGAGCCCAGGTCCTCTCGCTTGCAAGGCAAGCGCTCTACCCACTAAGATACAGGTCTCCGATAGAAGTCCTTCCTTGCCTCCCATATTCTACAATGTGGTATTAATCTATTTGATGTAATGGTAGTCATTCAGGAGACAATGTTCATGACCATCAAGAAATTGAACATCAACCTATCACTATTTGGGTTTGCAATCCTGGGATTTTTGGAAGATTATTACCATATGAGCTTCCTTTCACATCAAGGGGACATCTCAAAGAGCTTCACATGATATACTGTAATGTGCAGTGATTGTGTGTTTTGTGGGTGAACACACCAATCTGCCCCAAAACAAGCACCAATCAGCCTAGCAACTACACACACACCTCCTGTACTCTACAATTTGAGCCTTTGCATTGGCAAAGATAATATATTTTCTCAAATGCCAATATTTCAATCTTCGAGACAAAAATTATTTTAAAAGGGAATTAGATAAATTCTGGAAAGAAGAGCAACATTAAAAGGTATGGGGAGTCAGCAGGAATTAGATTAGGTGTCTTATGGAGAAAGACACTAACTCAGATATGACGGGTATAAGGGCCTGTTTCTGTGCAATATCATCTCATGCTTCTATGAACATACAATCTGTAACGCTAAAACCCAAAAATGGGAATTAGCTGGCACTGACAGATGTAAGTGTCAATCACTTTGAGTCTCAACTAATGAAAACAATTCGCAAGAAAAATAATAATAATAATCCTTGGATTTGATATTGTGCCTTATCGCGTCATTGACATATCTCAAAGTGCTTCACAGGATATACTGTAAAGTGGAGTGACTGTATATGTTATGGGCAAAACGTGGCAGCCAATTGCGCACAGCAGTGTCCTACAAACAGTCATGGATTGAGTGACCAAATTATTATTATTTTACTGGAAAGTGATCCGCCAATCGACTAACTTCTGTGGACCTATTTGGGGTCAGCCGGGATTGCAAACCCAAATAGTGATGGGTTGATGTTCAATTTCTTGATAGTCATGAACATTGTCTCCTGGATGACTACCGTTACATCGAATAGATTTAATACCACATGCAGAAATCCATCACCATGGTTAAGATTATCCAAACCAAACTGAGAGTTCCATGTATCCCATCATAAAGGGTAGCCATCACTGCATTAATACTTTGGTTTCCAGCGTTAACGGGAGCTGAATGGGAGGGAGTCCCATTGACTGGTCTACCCTTCCAAGTCCTGCCAATAAACTTTGCTGTCTTCAGCAGCATCCTGGAATACTCACAAGCGAGAGGAGCTGGTTCGACTCCTGGGCAGGGCAAAACTTCAGGGAAGTTTCCTTACTCCACACATCTCTGTTTACCTCGCAGTAAATAGGTACCCACTTGTTAGTCAATTGGCAAATTGCTTTTCCGGGGAGTAATAATCTCTTCCAAAAACATTTTTTAAAAAATAATAAAATTTTGGTCACTTAGTCCACGACTGTTTGTGGGACACTGTTATGCGCAATTGGCTGCTGCATTACGCCCACAAAGTATACAATCAATTCATTTTAATATTATTATTAACATTACAGTACGGTACAGCGCTGAGACAAATGTAAGAATTACTATTATTATTAAACTTGCAATATATAAGACCTGTGTGCAAACAGTCCTCCTTTATGGATCTGAATTCCTGTGGATGCAGCAGAAAAGCTTTCCCCAACCCATTTGCGAAGTCCAGGATCAAGCACTGAGGTGGCTTTGTGGCAAACATGGGGAAGCGGCTGTAGGGAGGGAGGGCTTCGGCTTACATTGACCTGTCACCAAGCATCCTGGAGGAGGAGTAGCTTCACAGGCTATTTGCCAAAGCCCCTCAGTTGAGGATTGGGTTAAGCACCTCGTGCTGAGTAAGCCTGATATTGGATTTGGACCTCTAGAACATCAAAGTGGCCGGCACTTCAGAAGCTATTCTGTAAAGGTTCTCCATTATGCTGAAGGCAGATGTCCTCCATGTAGCTGATGAGTAAACTCCAAGGCTTGGGGCTGGATGGCATTACCTGGAGTCCGAGTTCATAACCACATGTTCATACATCCAGTGCATGGAATCCATCAGTAATTATTTTCCTCCACAGGACAGGTGGTATGTCTTGGCCTACCCTATGCTCCAGTGAGAATGGTGATTATTCTTAGGCAGACATCAATATCTACTGAGGTGTATAAATATAAAAAGGTGGACAAAGTAGCTTTTCCCTACTGTCCAAAGGTTCAAATCTGAAACGATTTGTGCCACTTCCATCTTATTGTTTCATTTTTATAATTAACGGAAAAGGTGGAAACTGGCCTCATCCTCCCAAAAGCAGGCCCTGCTTTTGTAGCTGCATGGAGTTTCTCACAGCAAGTTTATTACAACAGTGCAGTGGCTGGCGTCTGCTCATTTAATACTCAGTAAATATTCTCTAAAAAGGAATGATTGACAGTTACTCAACAAACATATTGCAAAGCTGAAACCCATTAAGCCTTTACATTAAAGATTTCTGCATGTTTCAAGGTAACTTTCAATTTAATGATTTAGAAAATATAAACGCTTCAAACTAACTTGAATTTGTTGAAATGTCTGTTTATTTGTAAAGTTTACTGCACAGTTGAAAACAATTTCATAACTTTCAACTGCAGAATTTTAAGAAACTTATTCTAAGCATTTCCCTTAAGTGAAAGCCCAATTTCAGGAGCAGTCAGACAAGCCCATTGGGGTCCAAGCGCAATGTCAACAAATCTTTTGATTCCAATAACTTCTAATCTATAAGACTATCTTTGTTACCAATGCCTTGAGCTGTATCCTGTCATTTAACTATTATACAAAAATATCCCTTCCTACCTTCCTATCTGAATGAATAAATGTGCATTTATACATGCCATTCTATAATTGTGTTCATTCACAGTTCATTCAGGCCATTCTAAACACTAAACAGTACATTACTTTGTATTTTGTATCATGTATTTTGTATTGTACATGGTATAAATTGGTGTACGGAGAGGGGAAAAATTGTGATATAAACTTTACATACGCCAAACTCCCCCTACAATGCGCACATAAGAGTGTTCTAACTGTAACTTCCTGGAACTGTAGACATTATGGGGGAGAAATATCACCTGGACCTAGATTTATTTCTTGACAAATTCCTGAATTTAGCCTCAGTTTTGGAATAGTTCTTCTGTGAGCTCTTGTAAGAAACAAAACAAACTGGGTCTAGATTGAATTTTATTTGGCTAACATTTCTCATCAAATTAATCTTTCACTTAAATAATTATCTTTAAAGCGCTTTGCAACATTATTTCAGGCAAGGTGTCAAGGTGGCATAGTTGGTAAAATCTCACCTCTGAATCAGAACGTTGTGAAGCCAAGCAAGCCCCAGATCAGGACTTGGGAGTTTGCATCTCCGAAAGATGACATGTTAAACTCATCCTGTCTCCTTGTTCAGGTGGATGTAAAAAATCTCATGGCAAAGATCTATTCAAAAAGAATCAATAACCCATGGATGAGAAAAAAAGGTCATTCAATTCATGAATGTTTCTGGGACACAAGTGCTTTGAGACCACCTTTGCTCCGTCATCCACCTCAGTGGGACCGCACTCGCCTGGTTCGAGTCCTACCTCACAAACCGCCAGCAGTACATCTGCATAAACGGCTTCTCCTCCCGCTTTCACCCGGTCACCTGTGGGGTACCCCAAGGATCCATCCTTGGCCCCCTCCTCTTTCTGATCTACATGCTCCCTCTTGGGGATGGTACATTTCCACATGTATGCAGATGACACCCAACTCTACTTTTCCACCTCTCTTTGCAACCCCCAGTACCCTGATGTTCTGTCAAAATGCCTGTCAGATTTCAGGGGCTGGATGAGCACAAACTTCCTTCAGCTGAACGTTGACAAGATGGAAGCCATACTCCGGCTCTCGTCAATGTCTAAAATCTCATGGTTCTCACCTCCTCCACCTACCTGACCTCCGCCTAAAACTCTCCGAACCCGTATGCAACCTAGGCGTCAGGTTTGACCCCCAATTATCCTTCCTCCCCCACATCCGGTCCTTCACCAGCACCGCCTTTTTCCACCTCCGTCGCATCACGTCGCATCAAGATCCTCACCCTCGTATTCAAGTCCCTGCACTCGTCCCTGCACTTGTCCCCCGAGTCCTCCGCTCCACCCTCGGCTGCCGTGCCTTCAGCCACTATGCCCCGAGGCTTTGGAACTGCCGTCCTCACTCCCTTCATCTCGCTCCCTCCCTTCCCATTTTCAGGTCTCTGCTGAAGACCTTTGTTTTTGACCATGCCTTTGGTCACCTTCCCCCCCCCCTCCCCCTGGCTCGGTCCCGGGATCCGAAACTGTAAAGCGTTCTGAGACGCCATCCGGCATGGAAGGCGCTATATGAATCCAAGTTGTTGTTGTTGTAGGTGCGTTTAGCAGCACGTACCAGTAATTTGAGGGAGTGAAGGTGGCTGGTGTACTAGGGGGACTTGAGGGAGTAGGAGGGCAAGAGGTGATGGGTGCAAGTGTGTTGAGGATATTAGAGAGGGAGTTATGAAGGAGGGTGACTAAGGAGGAAAGGTCATGGGGGGAGGTAAGGTCATGGGGGGAGGAAAGGTCATGGGGGGAGGAGGGTCAGAGGGGCAAGAGTACAGATGACTTGAGGGCAGAAGAGAGGCACTGGAGGGTTATTTTCTTCCAGGGTCAGGAGATGGTAGTGGGAAGCATGGGCTCAGGCTGGTGCTTTAACCCATAGCCCTCCTGACCCAGAGGTGAGAGCACTGACTCAGGTCTCAGCTCTTGACAGAGCCAAGTTGCCCACCTCTCTTACCAATGCAAACCCAGATCATTTAATTTTATTCAAGGTTCGTGAAACAATCAAACAAGATGCTCATTCTGCTTTGAACGGTGTGTTACTTGAGATTCAGAACAGGTTTAAGATAAGCTTCCAATGCAATTCATTACCCTATTTGTACCTGTGCTGATCCAAACAACAGCAGCTCTGAATATCAAACCATGACCTTTTCTGCTACAAATTATCCAATTGTTTATTTTCCATTTGTTACTAGCATCCTGTTGAAATGAAGGACTTTAAACGTAGAGGAAACAAATTTACTGAACACATCATGTGCTGACAATAATTAGAGGGGGAAATTAAGCATTTACAGCAAGATCTGTGCACAGAGATTGTACATATATGTAAGGACTGTGGAGCAATATGCCTGTTGGCTAACTGAAGCAATAGAAATCATGATGGTTTTCCAGCTGAATCCACACTCTGTATCAAGATCATCACATTCACGTCCTGCTCTTTTTTTTATAGATTTGGCAGTACACGGTTCTCAGCATTAAAACACAAATCTTTGATGTCCGATATTCACTTGCCAAGGAAATGCCATTTGTTCACTGTAAACAGAGAAACCAATTTGAAATCATTTCTTTCTGTCACACAGAATGAGCCTAAATTTAATAGAATGTACAGTCATTGAAGTATTATAAAATACTTTTTTTTCGATTCAAAATGGTACAAATCTTCCAATAGCAATTACACCTTTCACTTCAAAACATTCTGACTATTTTACTGTAAAAAAAATGAGATTTTGTTTAGCAAAATGGCAGCTGGTGGTGAAAAGGGTTAATACAGTTTGGTTTAAAACATACGCCTATGTCCTGCTCCAGAGCCCTTCAGGAAATAGCTTACATGGTGTTCAAGATGCTTTCATACACATCAGAGTAGTCTATTAATTAAATTCTTGCAAAATGCATGAATGAATTCCATATTTCCTGTTGGAAGTTACGGTTTTATAAAGGTCATAGCATTTTAAAAATCGACTTTACTTAAAACATTAGATTGTTCACAGCTGTAAGAATTTCCTATGAGGAAGGGTGTAATAGTGTAACAATACTCCAAACAAACTGTGCTTAAGAAAATATACATTAATTTCTGAGCACATTAACATCATACCTTCCTCTGGGATACTTTTCACTTCCCCACATGCTGGTGCCTGCAAGACAAAGTGCAATTAATGTTACTCAGTAATGTAACCCTTGCCCATACAATCTGATATACTGTAGTAGCAAAACTGGTTCTACTTGCTTGTCCACTATGTGTACATAACAACATTGCTACTGTAATTGTAATGGTTGCTTGCTCAAAGAAAGTCACTGAAGAAATTGAGGTATTATCAATGTAACCACCAGTTATTTGGTTAGTATACTAACTTTTAAAAAACATTGCAGTTTTCCTCCTTTTAAGACTGGTGCCATGTTTTCTTTCAAGTTAGGGAAATGTGAACACCCTACAGACATTTCAATGACTTATGATGCAAAGCAAAAAAGAACAGGGTCACAGGACAATACCCCTGCCCGTACCACTTCCTCCTTCCTCTCCAAACTGGGGCACTCCTCTGTAGTAAGAACATCTTACCTCATAGAAAGTTGGAAACTGATGTGCTTTGTAAACTACTTGTGCCTCTTCAAATTTATTCTTGAAATACGTTTCCTCTCCTAGGTTTGACTGACAGAGCTTGGCGGGGAGAGAGGGAAACCCACTTGCTAAGCAGGTGAACCTGTAGCGTATTGATTAGTGCGCTTGTCTCGCAAGCAAGAGGATCTGGGTTTGATTCCCATGCGGGATGAAACCTTAGGCAAGTTTCCTTATTGCACACACACGCCTCTACTCACCTAGCAGTGAGTAGGAACCCGTAGGATCAGTTTTCCGGGGGGAATAATCCCTCCCAATTCTTTTAAAAAATAATAAATTGGTCACTCAATCCACGACTGTTTGTGGGACACTGCTGTGCACAATTGTGCTACCGTGTTTTGCCCACAAAACAGTCACTACGCTTTACAGTGTATCCTGTGAAGCGCTTTGAGACATCTCAAAGACGTGATAAGGCTCTATATAAAGCAAGGATTATCATTCTCACAATCAATACTTTGAAATCAGTGACAAAGAAAGGCAGATTAACAAAAACATAGTTACAACCAGGACAGGATTGGCAATTAAATCTAACAGGATCCAATATATTTAGAAAGTACAGAGATGGGTAAAGGGGAGGTGGAGTAGCAATATTGGTCAGAGACTATAATCACACTGAAAAGGAGAAAGATAATTAATGAGGGGATAAAGACACAATCCATCTGGTTATAGAGATAAAACAGACACAGCCACACTATTGCGGGTGTACCTACAGGCCATCCAACAGCAGAAAAGTAGTAAAAGAAGAAATATTCAGACATAAGGGAGATGAGCAAAAATAATAAATAAATAATTATGGGCAATTTCAATTATCCCTAGATAGATCGTCAGAGAGTAGGAGTTGAGAAGGAGATTTTTTTTGCAATATGTGCAGGAATCTTTCCTGTCCCAGTATGTAGAAACTCCAACAAGAGGAGAATCGCTGCTCGCCCTGGTTATGGGCAAATAAACCAAAGCAGGTCAGGGTTTAAATGTGCGGAAGCAACTTGGGGATAGTGATCATAATATAAGGTTCAAAATGATTATAGTAAAGGAGATAGACTAGACCATGGTACTCGATTGGAAGAATTATAATTATAATTGTATGAGGAAAGAACTGGCCCAAGTTGACTGGAAGGAAAAATTGGAAAAGAAAGACATTAAGCAACAATGGAAGATTTTTAAGCACAATAGAAAAGGTGCTGCAGAAACATATTCCATTTAGAAATAAGAGAAAATTAACTAATAATGGGATGCCATGGATGTGAAGACAAAACTGCAGCTATTTGAAAAGCACAGATTAGATAACAAAGGAAACCAGGAGTCACTATAGCAAACTTAGGAAAGAGGTTAAAAAGATGTTTAGGAATGCAAAGAGGAATCATGAGAACATAGTAAAAAATATAAAAAGTAAAGAGCAAGGTGTTCTATAGATATGTTAAAAGAACGGTTAAAGTAGGGATAGGACCATAAGGGTAGAAGTAGATAAGCTTCAGAGCAGATAATAAGGAAATGGCAGAAATAGTAAATGAATACTTTGCCTCAGTTTTCAAAAGAAAACTGATAAAGAAAATTTTGTAAGAATAGCAGGGGAAGGGTGCAAAACGCAACAATTAAAATAGGTAGAAAGGAGGCATTAAATAAAGTGGACTGGTATTAAGCAAGTTTAAAGTAGAAAGAATAGATGGATCTTTAAAGAAACTAGGGAGGAGAGAGCTCAGGCTGTGGTATATATATTTAATAACTCTGTAGAGAAAGGAATCATGCCAGAGGACTAGAGAATGGCCTTGGTAATGTTTATTTTTAAGAAAAGTGATAGAGCTAATCCAGGAAACTCATTTTAACACCGGTTGTGGGCAAGGCATTGGAATCCATAACAAAAGATGAAGTAACTTGCCCTCTGGAGAAGGAGAATATAATTAAGAGCAGCCAGCATGGATTTACAAAAGGAAGGTCAAAGTTGCTTGACCAACCTTATCAAATTCTTTGAAGATGTAAAGCACTCCGGGATGCTTACCCCGTGTGAAGGATGCTATATAAATGCAAGTTATTGTTGTTGTTGTAACCGATAAAGTAGTCAAGAGAAATGTTATGGATGTAGTGCATCTGGATTTCCAGAAAGACTAAGATAAAGTACCCCATGAGAGGCTCAAAACTGAAATAGGGGCATGTGGAATCAACAACAACAAAATTATATTTATAGAGCGCCTTTCTTGTTGGGAGGACGTCCCAAAGCTCTGAACAGTCAGGTGTCGGGGCCTGAGCATAGGGGAGGGGTGGTGTAGGGGTGAGGGAAGGCAGAGAGGTGGGAGGGAGACCAAAGGCACGGTCGAAGAGAAGGGTCTTGAGACTGGCCTTGAAGGAGGCAAGGGAGGAAGCGAGGCGAAGGGACTGTGGGATGGAGTTCCAGAGTGTGGGGACAGAGAGGCTGAAAGCCCGGCCACCGATGGTAGGGTGGGAGACATGGAGCAGGCCGGAGCCCGATGAAAGGAAGGAGCGGGCAGGTTGGTAGGGAGTCAGCAGGTCAGAGAGGTAGGAGGGGGCAAGGCCATGGATGGCCTTAAAGGTGAGGACGAGGATCTTGAACTCGATCCTCTGGGTGATGGGGAACCAGTGGAGTCGGCGAGGGTGGCAGTGATGGGGTCACGGAGCCTGGTGCGTGAGAGTACACGAGCTGCAGAGTTTTGGATGATCTGCAGCTTGTGAAGGGAAGAGTTGGGAAGGCCGATGAGGAGGGAGTTCCTGTAATCGAGCCTTGAGGTGACGAATGTGTGGGTGAGGATTTCGGCAGCCTGAGGGGTGAGGCACTGGCGGAGTCTGGCAATGTTGTGGAGGTGGTGGTAGGCAGTGTCGTTCATGGTGCGGATGTGGGGGAGAAAGGACAGTTCAGGGTCAAACAAGACACAAGGTTCCTGACTGGCTTAGTGAGGTTGAGTGTACAGCCGTGGAGGCTGATGCTGCCAGCGCCTGAGGTGTGGAGGCGTTGGTGCGAGCCAATCAGGAGGTCCTCGGTCTTGCTGACGTTGAGTTAGAGAAAGTTGGCTCTCATCCAGGACTTGATGTCGGACAGGCAGTCGGTCAGGACGCCAGTAGTCCTGGAGTTCAGGGTGGAGGCAGAGAGATAGAGTTGGGTGTCATCCGCATACATGTGGAAATTTACCCCATGTCTGCAGATGACGTCACCAAGGGGGAGCATGCAGAGGGTGAAGAGTAGGGGACCGAGGACAGAGCCCCAAGGAGTGCTGCACGAGACAGTGTGGGGGCTGGAGGAGAAGCGTTAGCTGAGACAAAGTGGAGACATTGTGAAAGGTAGGACCTGAACCAGTCAAGGACAGAACCTTGAAGGTTGATGTGGGAGGAGAGGCGGTGGAGGAGGATTGAGTGGTCCACTGTGTCAAAGACGGTGGAGAAGTCGATGAGGACGAGGAGGCAGAGGGAGCCCTGGTCACACATGGTAAGGATGTCGTTTGTGACCTTGACCTGAGCAGTTTCCGTGCTGTGGGTTCCTCAACTCATGAAGAATCATGGACGTGATAGCAGAATGAATTAAACAATATCTAGGAAATCAAAAGCAAAGGGTAGGAGATAAGGGCCTCATATCAGGCTGGCAAGAGGTAGGAAGTAGTGTTATAATAATAATAATAATCCTTGCATTTGATATAGGGCTTTTCACGTCGGGAGGACGTCCCAAAGTGCTTCACGGAACACACTGTAAAGTGAATTGACTTTATATTTGTGGGTGTACGCGGCAGCCAATTGCGCACAGCAATGTCCTACAAACAGTCGTAGATTGAAAATGACCAATTTTTATTATTGTTTTTGGTTTTGGAGGGATTATTATTAGGCGTGTGGAGTAAGGAAACTTGCCCAAGGTTTCGCCCTGCCTGGAATTGAACTCAGGTCTCTCGCTTGCAAAGCGGGTGCTCTAACCACTGAGCTACAGGACTACACGTGTTCCACAGGGACCACTCCTGTTCACCATATACATAAATGATTTGGATTCAGGTATAGGAGGTGTGATTAAATACCTCAATCAAATTACTTCACCTTCTGTGGTCCAATGAATATAACCCCAGTCTAGACAGCTTCTCATCATACCCAATTCCATCAACTCAGCAATCTAATGTTACTGGAGATCCACCAAGGCTAGTTTGGGTGCTCAAAACAGAATGCAGTATTCAACTGAGGTCTGACCAATGCTCTAAATAACAGGAGCAACACTTCTTTACCTTTATATTCCAATTCCGTTGCAATAAATCATCTCATTTGCTGTATTGACTGCTTTTCTCTGCACACTAGATTTGAATGTTATTTGTATGGACTTGAACCCTTAGTTATGTCTCTGCTCATTTACACCACCTAGTACTTCTCCATTTAGAACATAATCTCAACTGCTGTTATTCTGTCTGGACTTCACACTTTGCAATGTTATACTCCATCTATCATAGTTCTGCCCACTCACTTAACTTTCTATCTCTACATTTTTTATCTACCCTCTTCATAATCTGCAACAGGTCTTAGCTTAGGGTCATCCACAGATTTAGAAATAGTCCCTACTATTACTGTATCCAGGTCACTGGAAAACCTAAAGCATCAGTATGTTGTTTCTCCTTTCCAGATGCTAAGGATTTTTCTGGTTTATTTTCAATTAGATTGAAGAAATCATCATCAAAGAAATCAAAATAGACCATTTCAACTCCTGAGGAATTACCCCCACCCCACCCTCCCCCCAAGGATGGAAGTACAGTAGAAATAAGTTATCACATTATTTACTGTGTTCCTACTTACTGAACGGACAATTGCTTCGGCTTCTTCTTGGCTGCAGTGGAAGGGACTGTCGGTGATGGACACATTTTTGCTGAGGTTAAGCAAAAAAAGTGATTAAAAGTGTTATTAAATGAAGCACAAGCAATAACTTACAATAATGTGCACAAACTACGAAATGTTGGGCAAGTTTCCTTACTCCACACGCCTGTTTACCTAGTAGTAAGTAGGAACCCGCTTGTTAATCGATTGGCAATTTGATTTCCCGGTGATAATAATCCTTCAAAAAAAATAATTTGGTCACTCAATCCACGACTGTTTGTGAGGCACTACTGTGCGCAATTGGCTGCTACGTTTCACCCACAAATGTACAGTCAATTCACTTTACAGTATATACTGTGAAGCGTTTTGAGATGTCTAGATGACGTGAAAAGCACTATATCAAATGCAAGGATTATTATTATTATTGTAATGCTTGATTATGATACATTGAAAAGAGTAAAAAAAACTTCAGTAGGTGGTTCGTTTCAATCAGTCCTTTTCTAATTCCTGCTCTTTGAGGCTAAGGCATCACATTCAACAATTCAAATTTACGTCACGAATAGGCTAAAACATTGTTTGAATCCTGAATGTGAATAATAATAATATTCCTTGCATTTGATATAGCACTTTATCATGTCTTCAAAAAGCTCAAAGCCCTTCACAGAATATATTGTAAAGTTAATTGACTGTATATTTTGTATGCGAAACGCACATTTACAAAATATTAACTAGTCACCATGTATGTACTACTCCATCCACTTCGCTATGCTCTATTCACCCAAATGAATAAGTTCATAAAATATTTTAACCTTTCTGCATTGTTCATTGCAAAGTTAGTTTCACTAGGTCACATAATAATATCATTCCTTTTGTTCAGTGAGCTCAAACAACAAAATCAAAGAAGAATTGTTAGATTGGTTGTGAACGCAAACTGAATTAAACATTTTTTTTGTTTGAGCAATTCTCAAAGATATAAAGTGGACATTAACAAACTATGCAAAGGGACTTTTGATTACTCCCAGCAATTCAAGAAGCTGAAGGGGGTCGGCTTTCAAAGCAGCAGAAGTTGTTAGATTGGATGGGCCACATTTCCACTCTGTATAGTTTACTGTTTAGGTTTGCATTCGTGGTCAACCATGCCATCCTGCTTTAACACCTCTCCTCCCTCATCCACCTTAATGGGACCGCACTCGGATGGTTCAAGTCCTACTTAACCAACTGCCTCCACTTCATCTCGGCAAATTTATGGAATTCTCTACCCTAGAAGGCTGTGGATGCTCAATCATTGAACATATTCAGACTGAGATTGATAGATTTTTAAAAACTAAAGGGATTAAGGGATATGGAGATAGGGCGAGTAAATGGAATTAGGTTACGTTAGAAGATTAGCCATGATCTTATTAAATGGCAGAGTAGGCTCGAGGGGCCGAATGGACTACTGCTGCTCCTATTTCTTATGTTCTTAAATGGTTTCTCCTCCTGCCCGTCACCCAGGGGTACCCCAGGGCTCCATTCTTGCCACCCTCTTTTTTTCCTCATCCTTATGCTCCCTCTTGATGATGTCATCCGCAGACACGGGGTAAACTTCCACATGTATGCGGATGACACACAAATCTACTTTGCCTCCTCCAGTATCAACTCCAGGTTCACTGACGTTCAATCAGCTTGTCTGGTGGATATCATGGCCCGGAGGAGTGCAAGCTTCCTGCGGCTGAATGTGGACAAGATGGCAGCCATACTCCTTGGCTCCCATCAACGTCTTCACACCTGCAGATCTAAACTCCTTAACCTCCCTAGGCTCTCCCTCAGACTCACTGAACCAGTGCACAATCTAGGCGTCCGGTTCAACCCCTAGCAGTCCTTCCTCCCCCACATCCGGTCCCTGACCAGGATCGCCTTCCTCCACTTCCACCATATTGCCCGCCTTCGACCGTACCTTAGCCCAAATTCAGCCCAAACTCTCATGCATGCGTTTGTCACCTCCTGCCTGGATTATTCAAACGCTCTCCTCGCTGGTCTCCCCAACTCCGCTATTCAAAAGGTCCAGCTCATTTAGAACTCTGCCACCCGCATACTGACCCGGACCAAACTCCATACCCACATCTCACCAATTCTGACTAGGCTTCACTGGCTCCCCATCACCAAACGGATCGATTTCAAGAAACTCACACTGTGGTCAAATCCCCTCACGCCCTGGCCCCTCCCTACCTCTCCGACCTCCTCACTCCCCAATCCACCACCCGGTGCCTCCGCTCGACTGGCACCGGCATCCTGCTTGTCCCTCGCACCCTCTGCTCCACCACTGGTCTTCACGCTTTCAGCCACTATGCCCCAAAACTCTGGGACACTCTCCCTCAATCCCTCCGCCTTGCCCCCTCTTTCTGACTTTTCAAGTCCCGCCTGAAAACTTTCCTTTTTGACTGTGCTTACAGTCATCTACCCCACCAGCTCACAGCCAGGCTCCGCCACTGTTAAGCGCTCTGAGACACTGCCCTGCATGGAGGGCACTATAGAAGTGCAAGTTGTTTTTGTTGTTGTATGTAAATCCAGGAGTTAAGAAGTGGAGATTGAAGAGACAGATTATGTTGCACTATCCTGCCTGATTGTTGCCCTATAAGGACAAGGAATGAAGGAGGGAAGATTAAAAAGATACACTGAAGAGCAGAAAGGATGGTAGAGAACAATCCTTAAGAGATTACAAGAAAGGTTCAGGTAAAGAAGCCTCATCAGTCTATTTGACTTCATCCTTTCAGAATACCCATCCTACCATCTCCCCACTAAAAGAATAACGAGTTCTTAAAATACCAGAAAATAGCAGACAAAAGTTTAAAGAGAAAAAGTGTAGAGAGGGTGAGGTAAGTAATGGGTTAAATATGATAGCAGAAACTGTGTTGAAAACAGAGATCTGTGAGAACTTAATATACCCTCCATCTCTGTTAGAATAATTGGGCTCAAAGCCATCTTCTATATCAGTTCTTGGGATACCAGCATAACCTTAAAAATCAGTTTCTTACTGACAAACTGTCAAATGTGCATTGGAAGTCATTGTGATAAAAGTCAGCTGAGGTCAAATATCAACTGAGATCACACCCATGGAACAGTTTAAGTCTTTAGTTGTCAACTGGCTACACTTTGGCAAAGTAGTAATCACCACTGGATATATTAACATAATACACATCCCATTTTTCACCCCATGAAGAAAGCAAGGCGCAATACCAGTTTTAATGCATGACCTGAGAGTGGGCTACTTGAGTGTGTGACCGACGGGAAGACTGATACAGTCAGATTCTCCTCAGGTTTTGTTCTATGCCTACATTGGTACTTTCTCCTAAGCAGATAAAAATATAGTGGACGCTGGCTAAGTTCAGACACGTGGAGGATGGCCGTTTTATCCAGTATAAGAGGTGTCCGAGGGTAACCAAAATACCATTCCCCACCCAGCAGAGGAGCATCACCAACACCGTATAAAAATATGTAATAATGTTGTTTCACTTGAAACAATGTTAACTAACCAAACAGGACACAAGTATTTTAACCTAGGAGTTCAAGCTAAAATCCTGTACCTGAACAGATTTCAGTGAAGTACGTTTACATTTGTTTGGCTGCAAAATACCAGCAGAGGAGTAGCTTCCTGCCGTTCCCATTAGATGGAAACAGGATCAACTAGCGGCAGTGCTGAGGTGATTGACAGCCTGGAGCCACTTGTGAATGGCTGGGCTGTCAATCAATGAGTGCATTCAGCGGCTCAGCTGTCAATCAATTGCGATATTCCCTCCCTTGTTTTTCCCCGTTCCTCCGCCTCCTAAGATTGACAGCACATCTCCAGACGCTTACGAATGGCTGGAGTCCACTGTCAATCAATCTTAAGCCTCGTCCCATTTGTCCAAATCAACCACCATATTAAAAACAGGTAAGAATATAAATGAATCGGGGCTGGGCATTTTGTTCTACTTACTCTACGTCTGGGGTTAACCCCGCAAAAGCGGCTTCCACTGTATCACTGTTTGTGGGACACTGCTGTGCGCAACTGGCTGCCGCGTTCGCCCACAAATATACAGTCAATTCACTTTACAGTGTATTCTGTGAAGCGCTTTGGGATGTCTAGAAGACGTGAAAAGCGCTATATCAAATGCAAGGATTATTATTATTATTATTATTATTAATGGCATTCTGACATTAATAATCCCCACTAACATCCTGAGGAGGAGCCATCTCAATTTCGTTTGGAAAGAGCTACTGAGATGCTAGAGAAAATACTGAATCTAACCGCATATCTTCTCAGAGGGCTGTAACCATTGTAGGAGTGGGCAAGAGACAGCAGCACAAATGCTGTTGATCAGAAGGTCAAGTGAAGGGTGTTGACAAGCCAGCCTCAGGTTTTCCACCTGGCTGTGATAACGTTGGTAGAGAAACCTTATAAATTTGATAAGAGTTCAGTTACAAAAATGTAAAAAAAAGTAAAGTTGAATGTGTAAAGAAATAGTGAATTATCTTCCCTAAAACTCCTGGCAAGTCTGAAACTATTGTTCTGTGTTTTTCTATCCCCATAAGAATCTTAAGTAACCTTGAAATTTCCGTTTTGGAAATATCTCTTCAAGGCTGAAGAGCTATAGCTTATCTATTTGTTCCTCACAGCTCATCCTTCAGATATCAAGAATCAGCCTCGCTGCTTTCTTCTGCACTGCTTCTTGAATCTGTATGGAGCCTGAGTAGAGTCCTGCAGCATATCGAGCTTGCGAGCACTCGCCTTGCAAGCGAGAGCACTTGGGTTTGATTCCTGACAGAGTGAAACGTTGGGCAAGTTTTTCCTTACTCCACACGCCTAGCAGCAAGCAGGAACCCAGTTGTTACTCGATTGACAGATTGCTTTTCCGGGGGTAATAATCCTTTAAACAGAATAACAATTTGGTAACTTAATCCGTGACTGTTTGTGGGACACTGCTGTGCGCAATTGGCAGCCAAGTTTCGCCCACAAAATACAGTCAATTCACTTTACAGTATACTCTGTGAAGCACTTTGAGACCCCTTGAGAAAGTGATAAGGTGTTATATCAAATCAGGGATTATTATTACACATAGCATCCACAAAGCCTTCCACACAAGTTGGAATGCCTACCCAAACAGGGGAAGAATTATCACTAATTAGAAGATTGTGGGTTCAAGCCCCACGTCAGGACTTGGAATCACATAGGCTAAGATGACACTCCAATGCAGTGCTGGAGGTGTGTTGCATTCTTGGCGTTTTTCGGATGAGACATTAAACCAAAGTCCCATCTAACTGTTCAGATGGATGTTAAAGATCCCATGGCATTGTTCAAAACAAGGGGGTGGGTTCTCCCAGTGTTCTGCTCAACAATCCCCCAAATAAATTAGTCACTCCTTGGCTGATTGTGTGTGTAACCGGTGTGCCATTGTCATGTGCAATGTTTCGCTCACAAAATACACAGTTAATCTACTTTACAGCATATCCTGTGAAGTACTTTGAGAGATCTCAATGACATAATATAATAATATAATAATCCTTGAATTTGATATAGCGCTTTTCACATTTTCTCGACGTCTCAAAGTGCTTCACAGAATAGACTGTAAAGTGAATTGACTGTATATTTGTGGGTGAAACACGGTAGTCAATTGCACATAGCAGTGTCCCACAAACAGTCGTTGATTGAAAATGACCAATTTATTATTGTTTTGTTTTGGAGGGATTATATCAAATGCAAGGATAATTGTTATTATTATTAATACTACTATTACATCTTGACACTGTCAATGTCTGTGTGTTTACAATACTCTCGGTTAGACAAACAAAAATGTAATTAATGCTTTGATAATAATCCTTGCATTCGATATAGCTCCTTATCACATCTACAAGACATCTCTAAAAGCTTCAAAGGATATACTGTAAAGTGGTGTAACTGGGTGTATTTTGTGGGCAAACGCGGCAGCAAATTTGCACACAGCAGTGTCCCACAAACAAACAAGGGAGTGAAAGACCAATTTTATTTGGAGGATTTGTTGGCCAGTACACCAGGAGAAACTTCCTTCTTTTTTTGAACAGTGTCATGGGATCTTTAACATCCACCAGGATCCATCTGAAAAATGGCATCTCTGGCAATGCAGTGTTGAAGTGACATCAAAGACTATACGAGGTACACGCTCCAAAGGGCAGCTTGAATCCATAATTTTCTGACTCAGAGATGACAACTGAGCCAGTTTGCTAAACTGTAATTAAAGAATAACTTCTGCCAGGAAACAATGTACTTCTTCAAATGGAAGCTATGGTAGAACCATAGAAATTTACAGCATATAAAATGGCGCACAGCAAACGCATCAATAAATTATCCCTCATGCAAGAGGGGAGAGCATCTAATCAATAGGTTAACAGCAACCAAAGGCTGATCTCGACATCCCCTTTATATAATCCATTAGCTGTCTCTGATTCGGCGATATAGAGACATTAGCAGAGAGGCATTTAAAAGAGTGTGAAAAAGAAAATTAGAGAATGGGCAAACAAGAGTGAGAAAAATTCAGAAGAGGATTATAACAAACCTAATGACTTATAAAATTGAAATGAATTGGTTGAATTGTCATTTTTACTCTGTTTTCATTTTTTGGCTAACTTCCTCCTCCTCTCTTCTAAAGGCAGTGCCATATGCTGAGCTATGGACAGATTTATAAAGCACTGCAGTGTCAGCAAAGACTATATGAACAAAGACTACGTGGAGTCCTGTAACTCAGTGGTTAGAGCACTCGCCTCGCAAGCGAGAGACCTGGGTTTGATTCCGGGCAGGGCGAAACCTTGGGCAAGTTTCCTTACTCCACACGCCTGATAATAATCCCTCAAGGAAATAAATAAATAAAATAACAATTTGATCACTCAATCCACATCTGTTTGTGGGACACTGCTGTGTGCAAAGCTGCAGCGTTTCGCCCACAAATACATAGTCAATTCACTTTACAGTATATTCTGTGAAGCGCTTTGAGACGTCTAGAAGATGTGAAAAGCACTATATCAAATGCAAGTATCATTATTGTATGCTAGACTCACGCAAAGCCTCATCCTGATGTTGATGTGGGATCATTGTCAGTAATTATCAGTAGGGTACTCACAGCCAAGCCTGAACCCTTCACCCATCGTCCATACCATCAAGCAGAGGTCATATGGATAGCAACCAGGAACAGGAAACCTGGGTTTTTCCCCTCATGAGTCAATATGGAGTAAGAGCAGGAACTGTAAATAACAACGTCTCCCAATTTCGTTCAGCTAATTTGACACACAAAACGTCACCTGGTCTGTGTTATCTAGCCAATTGGGGAGGAAAACTACTTTTAATATAATGCAGAGATATATTTGTCAAATACCCGTCTAAATCTAAGACATAGAGGAATGTTGAATACCACCACAAATACTTTTTTCCAAAATAAGATAAAAATATGAATACCAGAATAGGAATGCAACTCAGCACTGTTAAATAAATGAAACTTACCAGTTAATTTCACCTCTCTCAGTCTTGTTGTAGATTAAAGATTGCCAGGATTCATGAGTAGACTTAATCACATCAATTGCAAATGCCTACAAACATATAGAGGGAACACTATTTTACAATTCGAAATTACATAATAATGGCTCTGGCTGGTTTGCATTAATTTATTAACAAATATTTTTATAATTTCCTAAACGGGTACAATTCCTTCAGTTATGATGTATTGTACATATACATTATAATATACATATGTATGTATAGAAGCACTATTTGAATAGCTTTTTCTTAAACCTGTTTGGGGAATTAATAACAGATGCTTAAAATGGTTGAAAGTGTAGAGATTGATTCAATAGTGTTGTAGTTCTTTCTATGAATGTAAACATTACAAGAAGTGCACAAGGTTATTTCCCTGCATATACAGTGTAAGCAAGTCAGTAATAGATAACCATCAGGATTACCTGTTTGTTTACACAAGGGTCGGGCAGCAAACTGGCGCTTAATTATAATCCTAACATTTAATGCAGCATTTATAACGTTGACAAGTCTCGGAGTTTCACAGGTCATTGCTGTTAAGTGTAGTGACTGTAGACACACAGCGGCCAGTCTGCACTTAATAATGGTTCCATAAACAACCATGAAATGAACAACCAATTTATTTTGAGGATTGTTGGGGAGCAGAAACTCCCTTGTCTTTTCAATAGTTGCATGTTTATGGTTGTGACAAATCTAAATGTCCTAGATTTATTACAAAACATACCTGGTCTTTGAATTCTCCATTGAAACCAAACTGGTTTTCTGGCTTGCCATCAGGAATCTTGTATAATCGAAACCAGTTGAGTGTGGCCTCCAGATAGCCTGGCCTGTACTTCCTGATGTCATCAATATCTAATAAATAAAACATTGATTATTGATAATGATAATCCTTGCATTTAATATAGCATCTATAACATAATAATGTCTCAGTGATTCAAAGGGGAATGCTTAAAATGTAGTGACTATAGATTGGCAAATGCAATAGCTAGCTTGTACATAGGGTCCCACAAAATGTCGTGAGGTGAATAATCATTTTATCTGGAGGATTGTTGGCCAGGATATCAGGAGATACCAGGATAACCTTTTCTTTTTGAATAATATAAAAATAAAATGAGTAAATAAAATTTTCAAATAAAATTGGACACTCACTCCTGGGTTGGTTGGGTTGGGTTGGGTTGGTTTGCTCACTGCTGTGAGCAAAAGATACAATCACATTGCTTTACAATATATCCTGTGAAGCACTTTGAGACATATCGAAGTAAAAAGGCGATATATCAAATGCAAGGATAATTATATTATATAATGTCCCATCCAAAGAACAGCATCTGTGACATTGCAGCACTTCCCCAGTATTAACACAGGCTCTCATGAGGGGTATCCTGGATAACAATCCTGAGGATAAATTGGTCATTCACCTCATAAGTGCCTTCAACAACAACTTTATTTATATAGCGTCCCTCATGCAGGGTAGCGTCTCAGAGGCTTGAAAGAGGTGGAGCACCATGCCAAGCCGGAGGGAGTGTAACCGCTAAAGAGGTAGATCTTCAGGATCTGAAGATGGGGAAGGAGGGGACAGACTCCCATAGTCTGAACTGACACTCTAATGTGATGGTTGGTGCGTGCTGCATAGTTGGAGGTGCCGTGCTTTGGATGAGACATTAAACCGAGGTCCTGTCTGCCTGTTCAGGTGAATGTTAAAGATCCCATGTACTATTCAAAAGGAGAAGGAAGTTTTCCCCAGTGTCATGGCCAACAAACAATCCCCCAAATAAAATTGACCACCGACTCCATGGCTGTTTGTGGGACACAAATTGGCTGCTGCGTTCATCGACAATTACACACTCCACTCTGTAAGTCCCGTGAAGCTCTTTGGAACAATATCCACCGGACCTGAAAGGCGCTATTACAAATGTGAAGATTATTATTAGGATTATTTATTACGATTTGCCATGTCTGGGCGGGGGGGGGGGGGAATCTAACAATTGTAAAGTCAATACATTTACAATTCCATAGAATTGTGATATATATAAAGATAATAAACACGGCCAGATTTCCCGTTAAATGGTATTAAACCAAGTAATTGAGTTTATGGCGAGAGCATGACCCTTCAAACAGCTTAGAAGATCCTAAATCAGTGTGGAAAAGTCGTGGATCATGCCCATATTTATATATTATATATACATTGTTATGCATACAGACATAAAAAAGAAACTCTCAGCATGATTTCCTGTAAATCCACAGAAGTCATATTGTATTCATTTTGATATCCAGGCCCTGATTCTTTCACAACCTCACATTAAAGAGCTCTCCATTTGTTCTCCAGCTGAGCACAACAGGCAATGATCATGGCTCGACACCCCCTATTGGCACAAATAAACCGACAAGTTCAGACAAAGTGCCTTCTTTGCTTCAATCATTTGGGGATAAAAGAAATACCATGGTTGGCAATTCAAAGTCTTCATATCATGTAGCTCATTGTTGAGACAGTACAGCCTTTGAAAAACAGCTGTGGTTAGCAACAGCTGAACACATACTACCCATCTGAAGCCCACAATACTGTACAGTACTCACAAAACTCTTATACAAATTTCTTTGTGTAACTCGCATTGAAAACAAATGGGATTTGGAAGCATTTGGTGAATACTGGTTTCATTCCACAAGTATCAGGATGCTACAGAGACATACTAACGTCAGGAATATGTGTTTCAATTATTAAATCCCTGCCTACATTGAAACAAATACTGGAAGTGAATTAATGCAGTTGCAAATACTGCAGTTCCAAATGACTGTTCTGTGCTCCCGTGCCTGATGCACTTAAATTTAAATAAGGTTTGGCAGATGCTTCCATAGTATATACAATATTTTATTTCCATGACAAAGTAGAAGTTAAATTTTAATAGTTCCAAAGATTATTTTACAATTTTTTGCAGACATTTGAGGTGCCAACAGTACGTGTTTTATTTGTTTGCCATGCTTGTATCCTGGAAGAGGTAGCCACATAATAATAATTATTAATAACAATAATATAATCCTTGCATTTGGTAAAGTGCTTTTCACCTTGGGAGAATACCCCAAAGTGCTGCACAGGACATACTGTAAAGTGCAGTGCTTTGTAGGCAAACAGGACTGCCAAGTCAATGTCCCACAAATTGCCATGAAGTGAGTGACCAATCTTATTTGGGGGATTGTTGGCTAGGACACTGGGAGAAACTTGCTTCTCTTTTCGAATAGTACCAGGGGATCTTGAATGTCCAACTGAACAGGTAGAATGGACCTTGATTAAAGTCTCATCCAAAGGATGGCACCTCTGACAATGCACCTCCACCTCCCCCTCCCAAGCACTCCAAGCATTGGACTGTCAGCTTATACTACGAGTTTGAAGTGGATCTTGAACCCACGGCTTTCTGATTAGAGGTGCGAGTGCTTCCAACTGAGCTAGACTGACACATCTAAAACACAGAAACTGAACCTTGTTTTAGTTTGGTTTTGCTGCTTCCACACTCAAAGGGTGACTTTTGTGCACCGCTGAACTTACTATTAAACTTGTCTGAGTCTGGGTCCTCCTTGTTGATGGCAATAATCTTCCAGTCCATCTCGCCTTCATCGATGAGAGCCAAAGCTGCGAGGGGTTTTACCTGAATTACCTCACCACAGGAACACAACTAGATGGAGAATACAAGAATAAATAGTTCACCGTTAAAGTTCACGTGTGTAGTGAAGTCTAAGGTTCATAGCTTCATGCAAAAGTATATTAAATCATCAAAAAAATCTACAAAAATCTGAGTTCATGGTCATTTTTAATAATATATTCACTTTGTCATCATTGTCCATTTTATTGTTAAATACTGCCATTAAATTAAATGAAATTCTTCTTTTTGATCATTTGGCAAAATGACTCAAAACTGTCAGAAACTCTCCTTTCTACCAACTTACTATCCTGATGGTTCAGAATTCAACTCTGTTAAAGATAAAGGTGGCGTCCTTGGCTCAGTTTTCTTCTCGGTCTCTAACCTCAGCAATCTTGGCAAGCAATTTCCCTCCACTGTACTCTACCATTTCCACCACCAGCAGCAGCCGCACTTTGTTTAGCAGACTGGGTTCAAGATCCTCGTTCTCAATTTTATATCCCTCCACAGTCTCTACCTCTGTGACCTCCTTCATACCCTACTGACCTGGCTGCTCCTTTTGCTTAGCCTGCTTTATGTCCCCCACCCTAACCACCCCACCATTGACCATCAGGCTTTCAGCCTTCCTGCCTCCATTCTCTGGAACTCCATCCTACTTATTCTCTCCCTAATCTTGTCCAAGATCCATCTCAAGACCTCTTCCAGTGTCCATTTCACTCATCTCTTCCCTCCCCACCTCCCCTTGGTTCCCACCTTCCCCACTCGGTCCATGCCTTCAACCCGAGTGCTCCACCAGTACTGCTAAGCGCTTTGGGACATCTCTTGATGTGTAAGGTACTATATAAATGTAAATTTGTATAATTGCATTGTAATATGATTACTATTATTTTCACCATATCTGACCAACTGTATCCTCCCCTTGTTGATGATTTCACTCTAAATCCATCAAATCACATCTTGCCACTGTATTGACCTGCATTCCTCTTGCAGTTCAATGCTGAATAACCAACCCTAGACCTAATCTATGTCCTTTGATATAGAGGCAATGAAAATCTTGATTGTTTCACGTTTTTCAGCATTCTTTATGTCTCTGAAGTTTATTTGACAGATAACATCCTCTTATCTTTGATGATTCATTCCTTGTCTCATTATATCTGATTTCAAATTGAATTGCACCTTCTGCTAAACTTGCTTATAAAACCTTTGATTTCTCAAAACTTTCAGCTCTGTATAAAAGCCCAAAGGACGCTATATCTGTGGAGGCTCTTCAGTATCTCCAATGCTCTCCCAAGGAGGACAAACAGATAGGTGTGTGACCTGGTGGATGACTCCTCAATCTAACCTTTAATTTAGTTAATCTTAACACTATTCTACAATAGTAGAACCAGGCTAAAACCTGGCATCAACATATTGAATAGGAAACTTGATGCATGCATGAGGAAGAAGGAAATAAAGGAGTATAGAAGAAGGGATTAGGAGAGTATAGACCCAGGCACAGAGTAGATGGGCTGAATAGTCTGTTTCCATGCTGTCACAGTCTATATGCTTCTTAAGGACAATCACATAATTGTATAATTAGATGACCAATAATGCACACAATTTTCCAGAGCAAAACCACGAGGAATGAGCTAACCTTTGATCCAATGTCACAGACATCAATAGGATCATTATCACCACAACAATTTGTAGTTTTATCTTTGTGATGAGGATCTTCCCATGTCTGTTGAGAAAAACATTATTAGCATCAATTTTAAATTAAACGGGGGTATCTGTAGACAAGACAAGCTGATGCAATTTCAAATATACAATGAAATCTTGTTATAATGCGGATTCAGTTATTGTGCAAGATCCGCACATTTACTTAACAGAAATTCTGAAATGCCCACAGGAAGCTCTCTAGCTTCTTGAAAGAAAGCTGGCTAGTGATCACACACAGTTATAATGTTGGATGGTATTTTTACAGATTCCTACTACTCTACATTATTGCCAAACAGGAAACACATTTTGCATGAGATGTTAAAACAAGGTCTCACCTATGCAATCAGAAAGTTGCATCTTTTGAGACAGACCTTGAACAAAGTGAGGAAGGGAGGGAGTCAGAGGGATTCCGAGATGGAGTTTCTGAAAGCAATGGCAGATTGGATGAAATCATCCCGGAAACCATGGACAATTTCAAGCTCCTTTTTTGAGGAACTCCTTCAGTGCTAAGTAAGCCTAGTACAAGGCTTTGGACGTGGACTTCTACAACATCAATGTGGGTGGCACATCACAAGCTGTCTTGGAAAGCTCCAACCACCAAGATGAAGGCAACTGTCTATTAGATAACAGATGAGGAAACTGTGTACATGGGGTCGACAACCACAAGTTTGGTATCCAACAATTCCTCTCTGTCACTCCAGTCCCTTGGGATTTGCAATTGAAGATGGCTGTGGTCTTGGGAGTCATGGGCCAGGGAGCCAATAAGGGATGGTTCTTGGAAATTGAAATGTGGGGAAATGGCCTGTAAGCCTGCACATTTTCAACAATTCAATTGAATAAAGGATTATAAGAACAAAATAATGTCTTGTACTTGTTATGTCACCTTTCACATCTCTAACAACTTGGATTACCCTAGAAAAGTTTAAATTAGAAAAAGACCTGGAGAATCCACATGCAGACACTTTCCAGAAATTCAATCATAAGCTCTGGCTTATTTACTCCATTTTAAATCCTGGGACATTTGAATTCAAATTCAAAGTCCTTCTGTCACCCAGCCTATCAGTTCTCTGAGCACACCTGGTAATTGAACCCTGACCTTCCAGGTTTGTGTAGCTCAGTATTGCAACCAGACACGGAATCATCAGGGAAGCTCTAAAATGGTCACACATAATAAAGGAGCAAGGATATTTATTATATTTGGCCTTTCTTAACCTGTGGTAATGCTCCATAGTTCCAGATGTAACCCTTGTAAGGGAAGATATTAGTAACATATCGTAAATTCCCCTTTTTCATATCCTGCTTAATAGGGTTTAGAGGATCCTTTGTAGCAATCTAGAAAAGATCAGAAAATATAATGTTATCCCACTTTGTTTGAAAGAAATGCTTATGGTGAGTGATAATTAAATATGATCCAAATTGTAGACATTGAAAGTATACTATGGTCTTTATATTAATCATGAGTACTTTTGTAATACAGTATTTACTTAAGTATTTACATAATAATAATAATAATCCTTGCATTTGATATAGCGCTTTTCATGTCGGGAGGACGTCCCAAAGCGCTTCACAGAACACACACTGTAAAGTGAATTGACTGTATATTTGTGGGCGAACGCGGCAGCCAATTGCGGACAACAATATCCCACAGACAGTCGTCGATTGAAAATGACCAATTTATTATTGTTTTTAGGCGTGTGGAGTAAGGAAACTTGCCCAAGGTTTCGCCCTGCCGGGAATTGAACTCAGGTCTCTCACTTGCAAAGCGAGTGCTCTAACCACTGAGCTACAGGACTCCAATAAATTTAAGTATTTACTTAAGACCTTCTGATTTACTACATTCAGATGATTTGTTAAATGTTCTTAACACTGACTAATGATGGGAAGACTCCCCTTAACAAATGACCATTAAAGCTGTAACATGCACTAGAATCATTCTTTTGGGTATAATGCCAGTTTTGTTACTGTTAATGCATTTTGTAAAACATAAATACAGCAGTTGAAAGAAAATTGTTCATCCTTCATCCACAGTATGCTCACCTCCATTTTAGCATTTGTCCAACGGGGCACTTCTACAACCATATTGAACAAAACCTGCAAAATAAGACAACATCTGAATGAGTGTGCGCATGTGATGTCTTTTGATTTATGACAAACAGTTTGTAATTGTAGAATCATAAAAATGATTGCACAGGAAGTGGCCTATGCAAGTATCAATTTCTCCTCTGAAGCTAACCCTATTTCCAACGTTTTGCCCTTTTAAATTGTTTATTCTAAAATGTTTATCCCTTTTAATAATAATGTATAATACTCCTTGCATTTGATGTAATGCCTTTTACATTGGTAGGACCCCTCAAAGAAAGATTTACTGTGAAGTTTCCTGACTGTTTTGTAGGCTAACACGGCAACCAATTTGCACACAGCAATGTCCTACGAACAGCCATTAAACTAATGACTTGATTTTACTTGGGGTATTGTTGGCCAGGACAAGGGGAGAAACTCCCTTCTCTTTTTGAGTAATGCTAAGGGTTCTTAAATGTTCACCTAAACAGGCAGACAGGACCTACATTTAATGTAGCATCTGAAGGAAGATACCCTCAGCAATGCAGCACACCCCAGCACTGCACCAGAGTGTCAGCCTAGACCAGAGTGGTCCAACCTTTTGAATGCTGAGGGCCGGTTGCCCTATTTGAGAAACTTCTCCAGGCCGCATAAGCAATTTTTGTAGTTCCCTTCCAGAAGCATAACAAAAACAACAACAAAATTACATTTGAATAGCGCCTTTCACGTCGGGAGGACTTCCCAAGGCACTAGACAGACAAAGTTACAGACCAGAGCTGGGGATAAGGGTGGGGGAGGGAGGAGAACAGGAGGGGAAGCAGGGAGATCGAAAACACAGTATTGTTTTGTAGTCGAAGAGGAGGGTCTTGAGATGGGTCTTGAAGGTGGCGAGGGAGGGGGCGAGACGGAGGGACTGCGGAATGGAGTTTCAGAGAGTGGGGACAGAGTGGTGGAAGGCCCGCCCGCCAATAGTGGGGCGAGCAAGACGGGGGACGTGAAGAAAGCCGGAGCCCACTGAGCGGAGGGAGCGAACAGGATGGGGTTAGGAGGTTGCAGAGGTAGGGGGGGGAGCAAGACCGTGGAGGGCTTTGAAGATGAGGACCAGGATCTTGAACTGTATCCTCTGTGTGATGGGAAGCCAGTGGAGTTGGGCAAGGATGGGGGTGATAGGGTCATGGAGCCTGGTGTGGGAGAGGACATGGGCTGCAGAGTTCTGGATGATCTGCAGCTTGTGGAGGGAGGAGTTGGGGAAGCCGACAAGCAATGAGTTTGCATAGTCGAGCCTCGATGTAATGAAAGCATGTTTGAGGGTTTCGGTGGCCTGAAGTGTGCGACAGTGGCGGAGCCGGGCGGCGTTGCAGAGTTGCGGGAAGGCAGAGTGGGTCATGGCGCAGATGTGGGTTAGAAAGGATAGTTGAAGGTCAAACAAGACCCCAAGGTTCCAGACTGGCTCAGTGAGGTGGAGTGTGCAACCATGGATGGTGACGCTGTCAGCGCCTGAGGTGAGGAGGCGCTGACAGGAGCCAATCAGGAGAACCTCGGTCTTGTTGACGTTCAACTGAAGAAAGTTGGCTCTCATCCAGGACTTGATGTCTCACAGATTTTCTGTCAGCACAGCAGTGGTCCTGGAGTCAAGGGTGGAGTCAGAGGTAGAGTTGGGTGTCATCTGCATACATGTGGAAGTTGATCCCGTGTCTGTAGATGATGTCACCAAGAGGGAGCATATAGATGTTGAAGAGGAGAGGACCAACGACAGAGCCTTGAGGAACGCCGCACGAGACAATCGGGGGTTAGAGGAGAAACTGTTTGAGGAGATGAAGTGCAGGCAGTGTGAGAAGTACGATCTGAACCAGTCAAGGACAGCGCCGTGGAGATTGAGGTGAGAGGCAGTGGATGAGGATAGAGTGGTCGATGGTGTCGAAAGCAGCAGAGAGGTTGAGTAGGACGAGGAGGCAGAGAGAGCTCTGGTCGCAGATGGGCAGAATGTTATTTGTCACTTTGACCAGAGCTGTTTTTGTGCTGTGAGTGGCACGGAAACTCGATTCGAGAGGTTTGAGAAGGGAGTGGCGGGAGAGGAAGGAGCAAAGCTGAGAAGCAACAAGTCATTCTAGGACCTTGGAGAGAAAAGGGAGTTTGGAGATATGGAGTAGAGAAGGGTCCAGGGAGGGTTTTTTAAGGTTGGGAGTGATGATAGCGGTTTTTAATGGCCTAGACTATGAGTTCCAAGTCCTGACATAGGGCTTAAATATCACAACCTCGCCTAACAGCCATTTGTGGCAAAGCATTTTTGATATTCTAATAATCCTACACGTGTAAATGTTTGTCTAACTCCCAGTACTGCACACAGTATTCCAAGTGCGACCAACCAACAACAACAACAACAAGATTCCATTTATAAAGCGCCTTTCACGTCAGGACGTCCCAAGGCGCTGCACAGTTGGGTCATGACCCGAGCAGGGGGGAAATGGTCAGGGTGAGGGGAGGGAAGGGAGGGAGCAAGGAGGGGGAAATGGTCAGGGTGAGGGGAGGGATGGGAGGGAGCGAGAAAGGGGAAGAGAGTCGAGAGGGGAGCTGAAGGCACGGTCAAGGAGAAAGGTTTTGAGACCGGCCTTGAAGGAGGAAAGGGAGGAAGCGGCGAAGGCACTGGGGGATGGAGTTCCAGAGCCTCGGGGCTGAGAGGCTGAAGGCCCGACCACCAATAGTAGGGCGATTGGGGCGGGGGACGTGGAGCAGACCGGAGCCGGAGGAACGGAGGGTACGGGCAGGTAGGTAGGTAAAACCAATAACTTTTATAAATTTAACATCACTATGTTGCTTTTAAATTGAAAGCTAAAATGTAAATAGAATGTAGCTATTGTTGAGTTTCATTTTCAAATGGATCTTCGTTTTCCATTAGTGGGTTCCGCCTGACAAACTGCACGATTGAAATGGCCTTTAATGACTGTGTGGTATAAAGAATGAAAAATTCTACCTGTGCCTTCTTTCTAATGCCATCGAAATGAAAGAAGGAAAAAAAAATCAGCACCAGAAAAAGGAAGCAAGAAACTGGAAGGAATTGAAAGGGTCAGTTAGGGGCAGATGCAAAAGACACATCATGATCTGAGAAAGACAGATTTATTGGGTTTATTGGTTTACACCATTCTTATATCAATCCATTTAAACAGTGGAAACAAGAAAATTTCATATAAGAATGGGGTAAACAAAAGAAAATAAAGTTATCATGTCTAAAATAACTGAAAGCTGTGACAACTTAATTTCTTCACATGTGAGAGATACTGGAGATTTCAATTGTTAAATACAGCTAAATAGGAATGACTACATATTAAAGGCCACACACAAGCATGGGAAATAAACTGGAATTGGATTTAACACACATTGAATTTGCAAATTTACCCGAACTAATGCACCTCACAAATCCTTTTTTAAAAACATTTCTTATCAAACCTTTTTAAATAAAGCTAACATGATCAACCCAGTAAACTTGTATTTATTGGCAACAGGCCCAAATTAAATAAAGTGGGTCAACCATTAAAAACCTGCAGCTCATAAAAAAAACTACCCATAGTATATCTTAATTGAAACCAAGGCACACAAGAGGGGTCAGATACCAAAGTTAGATGATTCAAGGAAAGTTAACAGGTAGCAGAATCAGACAGTCACAGAGGCTAACTCGGAACTTAAGTACATTCAGCATAATTTATACAATTCTAGTAGGAATGTGGGAAAAATATTTTTAACATTTCAATTTACCAGATCTAAGGGAGGAACAAACTACAGAATTAAAGAGGGTTGTCCCACAGGAGAAGTGCAGTGTGTATAAATGAAGCTAGTGATAGAAAACGAAGGGATGATGAATTACTGGCTAAATTATCTGGTGTCTCATAGGATAAACGTGCTCCAAGACTCAGAGAATATATGTAAAGAGTCATCTGTTCTTTATTCGGTAAGCTACAATCTAAATGGAGTTGAAGTTCGCCTGTAACCCTTCTCAATGTGAACTATACAACATGTGACAATACCATTTGTAATTAATAACCACTTGATATCAGTGGAAGTCATTTGTTAACACTTTCCACAGTAAACAGGAATGAGAAACAGGAGTCATCTTTCTGTTAAAAATTCACACTAACCAAAATTGAGCAGAGCTCTGCAAGCGGTGCCAGTAAAAAAAATGCGGGGAACATGACAATAACCTTCACTTAAAATGTTCTTGGATGATTGAATTTATGTGAGGATGTTGAAACAAATTTGCAAACTGCATTTATAGTCCTAAGCAGCTTGAACTCCTGCCCAAATCTTGCCTCAAATACAACTGTACAATTGGGCCTGTTTTGTTTGGAGGAGAGAAAGTGAAGAGGGGATCTAATAACTGACTTAAAAATTCTGAAAGATATTGAGAAGAGTGAAAGATTAATTCTGCTGTAATAAAGAAAGAGCTTGCACAATAAAATGTTTCACAGGTAATTACTGTCACTACTGACTGTTTTTTGTAGGTAAAGCATGTGATGAAAACAAAACAAATGTTGTATGTGAGGGTACAGGTACTGATTGAGCCACTCAGCACGACTGTGAACCAGTAATACCAGGTGTCAATTAAGCAATTTTCTATAAGTACAGTGTAGATTAGAAATAGAAAAAAAGCTCAAGAGAAAATTAGAGAATAAGTGACAGCAAGGAGAGAAAAAGGCTGCAATAATAATAGTGTCAATAATAATACTTGCATTTAATATACAATTGTGTCTTTCATGATCGGAGAATATCTCAAAGTGCTTCACGTGACTTTTTTGTAGAGCTTAATGGCAGTGTATTTTGCAGAACACGGCAGCCAATTTGAACATAGCAATGTTGCACAAAGAGCCATGAAGTGAATAACCAATCTTTTATTTGAGGGATTGTTGGTCACGACGCCAGAGAAACTCTATTCTCTTTTTGAATAGTGCTAATGGGATCTTTAACATCCACCTGAACAGGCAGGCGGGCGGGACCTCGATTTACGTCTCTTAATGTTACATCCTTACTAACAGAACGTCCAACAATCTGCAGCACTGCACTGGAATGTCAGCCTGAACCCAATGTGAGGCTTGAATCAGTCTTCTGATTCAGAGGTGAGGGCCACCACCTAAGCCAGGCTGACATCTACTGACACCAGTTTAACCACTGATGGAATAACTTTGGTTCGTATTGTAGTTAATTATCTACAATGTTCATAAATCCCCATTTGGACCAGTCCCAATTAATGCAGATAACAGGCTTGATGAAAACAGTAAAAAAACAAAGGAAGATCAAAGGTAAATCCAGTGAATGAGCTGCAACCAGTTTAAGCTCATTGGGACAAATCTCCCCTCTAGGTCTATGTAGTTTATTACCAATCTTCCAAGAAAGATAGGCATCACATTTTTGAGTTTTTCTTCAAAACATGACAGCCTTATACAGGTGTCATTTCAGTCGTCTGAATAAAACCTAAGGCATTTCCCAATGCTACAAACAACCAGTCAGTAAACTTATAGCTATACAGTATTACAGTAAAAACAACAGCAAATGAAACTGACCTGATCGTTTACTGCATAGAGTGGGACATCATGAAAAGGTGAAATATATCTCCCTGTAGCATCCTCTACAACAGTAAAGTGAGACAAAGCAACATATCATCAATCCACGACTATTTATGGGACTCTGCTGTGTGAAATTGGCTGCTGCATTTCATGCAAACAATATACAGTCAATTCATTTTACAGTATGTTCTGTAAAGCTCTTTGAGATGTCTTGTAGACGTGATAAGGTGCTATATCAAATACAAAGATTATTATTAATGTTATCAACATTTGAGGTTCAATAATTTCCATTTCCTTGATTAGGAGTTCCCCAGTCCTCATCAGTCTCCACTGACTCCCAGCGGATCATGTCAATGTCGTCACCATTGCCTATGAATCCATCCATTCCCTGATCTCTTCGATCTCATCCTAACTTCAGCTAACTCAGGCTTCTGCACATGCCCCATTCTCCCCGCAACACCATAAGCAGCCAAGACTAGTTTCTAGGCTCCGAAGCTCTGGAACTTCCTCCATCAACCAGTCTTTGGCTTAATGGCCCGTCTTAAATCTTTAAACTGGCCACCTCCCTCTCCCCTGCTGAGAACAAACCGCAACCCCGTGAAATTTCTTTGAGACATTGCCCTTCAGGAAGGGCTATTTAAAAGGCAAGTTGTCGTTGCTGAGTTAGTTTAGGCCGGGTTGGTTTGGTTTAAAACCACTGCCATCATTCCCCTGCTCAAAAATCCCACCCATGACTCCTCGAACTTGACAAATTACCGTCCCATTTCCAACCCGCCCTCCCGCCCTCCCTCCCTCCCTCGCCAAAGCTCTGGAACGTGTTGTCGCTCTTCACCTCTCCAGTCTGGTTTCCGCTCTGTCCACTGCACAGATACGGCACTCGTCAAAGTCACAAACGATGACCTCCCTGTGTGTGACCGGGGCTCCCTCTGCCTCCCCATCCTCCGGGACCTTTCCACCGCCTTCGACACGGTCCACCACTCCCATCTTCACACACCGCCTCTCTCACCTACTTACCCAAACCCCCCCCCACCCACCCCACCCCGACCGACCCACTACCCGCTGCCTCCGCTCGACCGGCTCCGGCCTTCTTCACGTCCCTCGTGCCCTCCGTTCCACCGTCGGCGGCCGCGCTTTCAGCCGCTACTCCCTGGAACTCTGGAACACTCTTCCTCTACCTCTACCCTTCCTGCCCCACCTTCAGGTCATGGCCGCAGTCTCTCCTCTCCTACCTCTGCCGCCCCCACCCCCCTCCCCCCTCTGCTCCGCCATGGTGGAGCTCTCTGGGATGCGGCCCTGTGTGGCCCTCCCTCACCCCCAGGCCCTGAGCCGCTGCTGGTGTTGAGGTGCGGTGAGCGCTGTGGTGTGTGAGGCGGTGCTCACTCACTCACTCACTCACTCAGGTAAACGCGCTCTTCTCTCCGCTCGCACCCGCTCCGGGCCCCGCGCCGCCCGCTCAGGCCCCCCAACAAGAGGCCGAGGCCGCGGCGGCGCGGAAACCAGGCTCCGAGGCTGCAGCTGAGGCCTGCCATGAGCTCGGGCAGCGGGGAGCGGGGCGCCGGGTCACAGCGCCCCCGCTGTCGGGCTCCGCCGGGAACAGGCCGCAACCTGCATTCACACAGCGCCCCTCAGGCGGCGCAGGACAGCGGCCCCGCGGCTCAACGATGGCGGAGCCTGGACTCCCGGTGGGTGGGGAAGGTCTTCAGCCGCGACCTGAAGACGGGGCAGGAAGGGGCGCAGAGGCCGAGGAAGAGTGGTCCAGAGTTTTCGGGGCGAAGGAGCGGAAAGCGCAGCCGCCGATGGTGTCGCGGCCACCGATGGTGGAACGAGGGCACGCGGGTCATGCGGGAGGCCAGCGGGGCCTGGCAAGGCAGCGGGGATGGGGGTAATGATAATAACAATAATAATAAACCTTGCGTTTCATATAGCACCGTATCATTGCCATTGAGGCGTCTCACAGCGCTTCACAGGATATACGGTCAACTGGTTTGACTGTGTCTTTTGTGGGCGAAATGCAGCAGCCAGTTGCGCACAGCAATGTCCCACAAACAGCCATGGCGTGAGTGACCCATTTTATTTGGGGGATTGTTGGCCAGGACACCGGGAGATACTCCCTCCTCTTTTTGAACAGTGCCACGGGATCTTGAACATCCACCGGAACAGACAGACGGGACCTCAGTTTAACGTCTACTGCACCTCTGACAATGCAACACTCCTCCAGCACTGCATTGGAGTATCGGTTTACATTATGTGATTCCAAATCCCGACGGGGGCTTGAACTCACGACCTTTTGACTCAGAGGCGAGAGTAGGCCACGCTGACACATGGAGTGCAGAATTTGGTGCAGAAAGAAAATGTGGGTTGTGAAGTTTTTAATTAATTGGAATTTATGATTTTGAGGGCATGCTACGAAACGGTTGGTGATTGGTAACTCATACTGACCACTAATCTGGTAATGTGTAAACGTTGTGATGTTCCTTAACCCATTTCTTGCATTAATCAAAAGCGATATAAAAAGAAACATTGCTGTTTTGTTCTTTATTAGCAATACCTCAATAGCTGGGGCAGCGGTGGCTAACCCTAATCAAGAAAGTGGCCCGCCGAACATTTGCACTAGTCTAGGCTTGTTTAAATCAATGTTTTGTTTCCAGTCTTTCTTGATGGAATATTTCTTGATTTATGGCATAAATCAAGAAATATTTAATCAAGAAAATTTATTTTTTCAATCCAATTTACCTGACCTTTCCCTATATTCCTGTAATTTACTCCATTTTAGATATTTATCTAGTTCCCTTTTGAAAGCTAATATGGTTTTGACTCAACGATAGAACCTGGCAGGGCATTCTGCTAACATCCTTACATTTGCTCATTGCTAACAATCTTAAATTGATCTCATCTTGTCACTGACTCACTGATCTGTGGAAATAAATTTACTTACAGTTTGCTTTCAACCATCCAACCATCTCTCCTTCCATGGGGCAATATTTCCATGAGGCAAAATCCTTGCGAAAGCCTTTATGTAGTACCTCAACAAATAGGCTTGGCATCAGGTGGATTTCATTCTCTAATGCATCTGTGTCTTGGGAGAAAATGTATTGTTCTTTACAAACTTGGATTAAGGATACAATTTTTCATTGTAGAAAATGTTCCATAATAGCAATTTGACCTGCTGTGATCAGTACAAATTGTTCTGAATTAGGAGACTGTTTAGTTTATTTGTTATGTAATAATGTTTTGCATTTCTCTATTTTCCTCTAGTATTTTTGACATTATTGTTAATAAAATCACGTGAAACAGTCACGTTAATAAGGAAGAAATATCTATTCTGTTGTGCTTTTATTCCCATTATTTATTTTTATTCCGATACAAAAACAAGTAAGATTGCAATTTGTAGTGTTCTGGGTACACGATAAACCCTATTTGTGAGCTACACACTTGTGAGGGTGATAGCGTACAGTAAATTGAAGCTGAGTTTTCTTTGGTGCAGTTTGATTATAGGTACTGCAAGGAAATGGAGGAGTATGTGTGGTTCACGGGTAAAGGAAACTGGAGTACAGGGAGTTAGTGCAAATGATCCAGTTATATCCAGTCATTGCCCATTAGTGCAGATAAAGCTTCAGGTGTTCTGCAGATTTCACAGCACGGGTTTTTCTGCCTCTGAGACTATCAATGAGGCGACGAGTGGCAGTGAGAGCAAAGAAACATTGTGGGGATGACTTGGTGTGGGACTCTACTTACCTTCGCTGCAGGTAATTGGTCTAACATGGGCATAAGTTTGCCGAAAACCCAGTTTGGAGCAAGTAGTAGTGTGATTGTCAGTCACTTATCTGAGCGAATGATTTGAGTCAATATTGAGATTTGGTGATTTTATTTGCAATGGCACCAAATGACTTATTATTAAGAGAAGAGAGCAAAGTTATCAGTTCATGTTTGTAAATCTATAGGACTAGTTTAGAAAAGGTGAAGCTGTTATGGAGGACATGGTGATTCAAAAAGCTGAATGCTATTCCAATGCACAAGTATGCATTTCTCCATTCTGCACACTATTTCCCCGTTGAAATAGTGGAATAGGAAAAACCTAAACAGGTGAAGGATCGGGAATTAAAGTTTCATTTTTTTATTGTACGAAAACTTGCTTTAAAATTCACCATTTCTGAACCTTTGCAGGACGATCTTAATTATTATTGGGCACACGTTTTCTGGGTCATTTATTCTACAAGAGGTTTTTGTGTAGGGCTGGAAGTTGAAATTGAGATGTGAAAGCCACTGAGCCACAGAATTGCTGCTTTGCCACATTTACCTATATTGCATGTCACCAATACTGATGAGATCAAATTTGGATCAGCATCCCTATAATCTGTCCTAATCTTTCAATGAGCCTTAGCTGCCAGCTTTATGTGGGAAGTTCTTAATTCTTTTGTGCCTGCCTACTTGGGTATGTGCTTTAACAATATCTATTGCTCACCAGTATTGCCTAAATTGCCCAGTCTTGTCTGTTGATGATGATAATAATCCTTACAGTTGGCAGACCATTCACCTGTTGGTTATCACAACTCGACCAGTTTCATATTTGACCCCCATCTGTCCTAACATCTGCGTTCACTTGTTTGACATTCCCTCACTTCCACAACATTGCCCACCTCTGCCAATACCTTTTTCCTTTGGCCGTTGAGACCTTCAACCTTGACTTTTCTGTTTTAATTTCACTTTAGACAACAGTTTGCTTTTATAGTAAATGAACAGTAAACCTGTAGGAATTTAACTGTCTGTTTGCATTTCAAGTACTTGCAGTATCTACAACTGACCACATAACTGATATAATGGGTGCGAAAACTGGTAAACCTGTAAGTGTGTGTATATATAATAAATAAGTTTCATTTTGTGGTTAAAAGTGTTAATAAACTTAAGAGGGATGGGAGAAGAGTACTGTGCCTCCTTTTGTTAGTGCTCTGAGACGCTGCTCTGTGTGAAGGGCACTATATAAATGCAAGATGCTATTGTTAACATTACATTTGTAAAGCACCTTTCACGTCAGGAAGACGTCCCAAGGCGGTGGACACAGAATTTTTTTATTAAATTAATTTTTGATTGATTAAAGAATTAAATGCACTACTTTACAATTTTCCTTATTTAGAGGAATCCTATTTCCTGGAATAAATGTATAAATAGGTGGATGAAACAGGATATTGTTTTAGGATCGATGGAGAATATACATTTGTTTATCACTTTAATCTGAGATCTTTTGCTCCTCATTAAATGTTTTTTTTGGTTTGAGTGCAGAACAATTAGCAGTATCAACAACAATTCCTAAACCCAAATGTACATGTGATACATGTGTGAGAAGAGCTGTAGTCAAAGCAACAAAAATTTAGAATAGAGTACGGGGGCCAAAGCAATACGACCAGCACAGCAGTGATTGGAAACATTCACTGTGTATATAGAGAGTTATCAGAAACCAACCATGAATCGGAGTGAGGTTAAAAGGTAGTCTGGTTTTCTATTATCTAATCCTGAATTGAAAGTTTCCAATTATATCAGCAGTATCTGGTGAATATTCAATGATTTAGATCTAAGTGTATGTAAAAATTAAAGCATTAGAGTATCACATGTGTGTGTGTAAAAAAAAAGGAGGGGTGGCCAGAAATTGTACTGCCAATGGTAGTTTCTGGATGAGGTTTATCTTTGCTGGAAGATGAACTGCTTCTTGCAGTAAAGGCTTTTCAATATGTGCAGTTGCAGCATATGTAAATGTTGAACTGTGAGTAACTTCTAGTTTAATTGCATTCAAAATCTCATTGCTTTATTCCAAATGCTCTTGTTTTTAATATCATGTGTATTTATTGATGGTCACGTTTGTAATGGTCTCTGTTTTGGTGATTTAGCCGAACTGTGCAACATTCAGGCTACCAGTTTGTACTCGAGAATACAACCCAGTATGTGGAACAGATGCTGAAACCTACTCCGATGAGTGCCTGCTGTGCCTTCACAATTGGTAAGAAATCAGAGAACTCTTTAATGAAGTGATTATTTTGGA